TTTAAATTGTTTTCTTATTAAATTATGCACAACTAAATATGAAACCATTCAGAAATTAGGTATTAATTACTGAAAAAATGCAACTCGTCAATATGGCACATAGAACTATTTTTTAAAAGAACTATGCTCCTTATCTTTTAGCTCTTTCTTGATATTAATTCTGAGTACATTGTTTCTTATAATTACTAAGAAAATAACTATATTATTTTAAACCTTCTAAATTTAGAATTACAGTGAACTATCTTCAAAAATAATTTTTCAAAATGCTAACTTATAAGATCAATGATAATAGGTGATATAAATGCATATGTGTAACTGAATATTAATTTTTAAAGATAATTTTCCTTTCAAAAGTCACTTTAGAAACCTGTCCCAATAATTTTAGAAATAATCTCTTCAGCAATTTTGTCCTCTGGGAAAAGTTAAAGCAACATGGCTTAACATTTTAAAGTGGGTGACACAGCTGACAATCTTAAACAACTGGACTCCTACTGCCTTCCCACAACTAGGAGAGGATGGAGGGGACGGGCAAGGACAAGGAGAAGACAGAGAAACACCAACGACGAGATCGTTCAAGGCTCTGTAGACAGATTGGCATTTTCTTCAAGACAAAAAAAAGATGAAATGAAAAAGGATAAGCTGGTTTTAATAGACTTCTGAACAAAAGACAATTCAACAGTATTTCTTTTAAAGATAAATGGTGTTCAAAAGCATAACTGATTAAATTTTGAAGATAATATCTATGAACTTTACCATTTCTTGCATATCAATGGTTTAGTTTATTCATTCTCTCCATGCTGAGAGGAGAAGAGAATGAAAACACCAGAATTACTGCTTAGTCATTCATAAAGTTCAGGTCACATTTATTTTGTTTCAATGAAATTTTTTAAATGACCCATGATTGTGACTGCAAAGTTATACTAAAATTGGATAAGGATAAAATTATCTTAAAAATCTAAGAAAAACTTAAAAGCCATATTTCAGTTCAATAAATCTAAGCATAACCTAATGTAAAATGTTAAAGGTGTTATTATTCTTTTTAATTTTTTATGAGACTAAAAAGTTAATAAGAATTTTATCTAAAATTTAATAAAGAATAACAAAATTCAGGAGAATACCAAATACAATATATTACTATTACTCATACTATTATGAATTTATTAGTCTCAATTGGAATTTTAATAACTTTAAAGATTCCTTAAGCTACTAATTTTTTCTTTTTGCTTTTTGCTGAGGAAGATTGGCCCTAAGCTAAGCTCTGTTGCCAATCTTCTTCTTCTTTTTTTCTTTTCCTCCCCAAAGCTCCAGTACATAGTTGTATATCCTAGTTGTAGGTCATTCTAGTTCTTCTACGTGAGAAGACGCCACAGTATGGCTTGATGAGCAGCGCATGGGTCCACCAAAGCTGAGCATGCGAACTTAACCACTTGGCCATGGGGCCGGTCCCCTTAAGCTACTATTTTTACAACTTTACTATAGAACAGATTTAAATAGACTTAAATGAATGTGATGGAAATAAACTTTTGCTTCAAGAGAATTCTGAATGTATATACCACATTAGATCGATTTATATGTGAAAAATTACAGAGAATTAGGTAACTGGTAAATCAAGCTATAAAAATAACACATTACTATAAAATAAATCCTAAAACAGTTGCATGTAGACTAAATGAATAGAAAAATAATACATTATCATCTCACATGGACATATTACAACCAATAAAAAGCAATTTCGTTCCAGGTGGAAAATACTTATGCAACACAATTCCTCACCAATTTTATTTACATTTTCATGAAAGTGTACACAGGCGTGCACACTCACACACATATCATTACGTATCTTCAGGCAATTTTATTTGTATTCAAATAAACCAACGTGTTAAACTAACAAACAGCTTTCTCTAAATACCAAAGACAACACTAACAAGGAAAAGCTGTTTTCCTAGTTCATTTTAAAGCTGGAATGCAACGATACTGCCATCTAGTGTTCATATCAAATTAGCACTTTCAATACAAAGGTCATATTTTTGTTTTGCACTTAAAAAACTGAGTGTGCACAGGTTAAATACAAATTGTCATTCCTATTGGTAAGAGTATAGTTTCGATGGATGAAGAAAAGGGGAAAAATAGAAAAAGTCACTGGGAGGTAATGGGAAGAAAAAACATACAAGGCACGTGGGAGAAACATCGTTCTTTCAGGTGCGATTTCTGCCACATTTTGTTCTTAAACATTGTATATACATTACTGATTTTCTTGGATACTTTATTGACCTAGCAAACAGAAAGATCCATTCTTTAGGGCTGGATGCATCTCCCTTTGTACCCCCCATCCTTTGTATCCCAAATGGGAATCAATGATTTCACATCAAATGAACATAAATTCATTTACAGCAATGTTTTAAATATACAAAATTTATCATTTTGATTATTGCTCATGAGAAGAGATAAATAAAAAGACTGAGGTTGTTAAGGTTGACAAGAATTTAACTTCATTAAGAAATAAAGAGGGGCCAGCCCATGGTGTAGTGGTTGAGTTCATGTGCTCCACTTTGGCAGCCCAGGGTTTGTGGGTTTGGATCCTGGGCGTGGACCTCCACACTGCTCATCAAGCCATGCTGTGGCGGCATCCCACACACAAAACAGAGGAAGACTGGAACAGATGTTAGCTCAGGGACAATCTTCCTCAAGCAAAAATAGAAAGAAAGAAAGAGGAAGATTGGCAATGGAGGTTAGCTTGGGCCAATCTTCCTCACCAAAAAAAAAAAAAAGAAAGAAAAGAGGCTACATTTTGGGCCAAATTGTTTCTTAATCACATTATAGATATTGTTGAAGGCATAAAGACTGGTGTCACTGTTCATCTATCATCAGAGCAGCTGGTAGATCCCTAAATCAGCAGCCTCTCGTTGTTCTTGGTCTATTCCTATAAACCCAGACTCCCTGCTGGGGAATGCTCCACCAACGTAAGCCAGGAGACGTAGGAACCAAGAGCAAGGTGTCAGGGGTGGTGGTGGCAGTACTCCCACCACATCACAACTCCAACGACTGCCGCCACTGCACCCTAACCTCAACTTTCAACTAAGCCGGGGTGACAGTTCACAACTGTATCTTGCTTTCTCCTGGTCCCAGACCTTTGGTCATATTATCATCCCTTCCTAAATCTCTAACCTAACTAAATTCTGTCCACTGGAAATAAGATCTCAGCTAATTTGACCTATTATTTTCCCTTTTTTATTTACCCATTTTCTCACTTTTGTATAAGGGAAATGCGTGCTATGTAAATCAGAAATATTCAAAGGAAAAGACTCCCACTCTTTCTCCACAGCCCGGCCCACTTTCCACGTCCCCTGTGACGCCTCCTCTCCTCCTGCCCACCCAGAGGTCGCCTCTGCTCTACACTTCCCAGCAGCACTCTCTGGCGTTCCTTTACAGCCTCACCATATTACGTCCATGTATATGTTTTATCTCCCAGAATAAATCAGAAGCCCTCTCAAAGAAAAAAAAGACATCTATGACCCTTTGTGTTGTCGCCCACAAAAGTAACTCCGGGGCACCTGAGAAGTCCAATCACGTGTGACGCAAACGCTGTGTGCTCTGTGCAGAAGCACCGTCTGCTTCACTGCCCCAGGCTTTACTCTCCAGACTCACTCGTGTCACACGAGAAAGTCACTTAACCTCTCTGAGGCTCCTTCCTTCCAAGAGAGACCCTAACACCTGCTGTCTACTTCACAGTTACTGCCACAGCAAAAGCAAAACAGAAAGCACATGCATTATACGGAGACAGCTATTAACAAAACATATAGTTCGATTAAAAACTACTTTAATTTCAGGACAATACATTTAAAAAATATATATATGGAAAAAACACCCCCGTACTACAAATTAAAACTGAATTAGATTTTTAAAATTATCAGCATTAAGGCTACCAATCTACCTATCCATCCAGCCAGTTATTTATATAACCTAACGAGTGACTAGACCAGCTTTCTTCCAGAACACAATGAATAGGTACAATTTTCTATAAATGCTGACTTTATACAAATCATCTAACTTCAACGTTGAGAACACTGAGAGCACAGCTAGTTTGGTTCTCAAAGACTTCTTTAAATGAAGAGTTAAGTTACCACCACACATTAGATTACAAAGTCATCCATTCAGGGACCAAATTCATTTGCAGTGAATTAAAATGAAAATGCTATCACTTAAATATTTCTCAACCTAAAAACATACACATAAAACAAAACGCTCATTGCAACATCTGTGGTGACTTTGCTTTTCAAGAAATACTAGTGACATTATTTGCTTTTTCTTCTATCCCTTCATACCATGTGCTGAGTATTGTTTTTATGGACCGTTTAAGAAACCTACTGTGACTACATTTTTAATAAATAGGTTTTTCTTAAAATGTCAACTAAAAAAAAGAACCTTAACTACTTTATTAAGGAAAAGTCATGTTTCCTATTTTTATGCTACTGCTGCCATCTAGTGAAAATTTTGAGAACTTAATCATTCTGGAAAATAGAGGGTATGCTTTTTAAAAAATCAAAGTATACACACCAAAGTATTTAAACCTGCAAAGTATACATACAAGGAAAAAGGATGTTATAGATTACTTTCTTACAAATAATTTAAAAAAAATTTTTTCATTAAATTATATTTCACTATTGTAATTCATCAATTCAATCATGAAGCCACTTTTTAATTTAACCTGTGAAATAACTGATTTAATTTAAAAATTCCTTTATTGAAAAACAAAAAATAATCCAGAAACATCAGGTTGTTTTTGTCATGAAATTATAGCTGTAAATATATTCAAATTCAGTGACTCTCGAAGATTCTATACCTGGAATTTCAATTCCTTACCAAGAACATTTTTATTATAATAGTTAAAATAGTAATATGTGCTGACCAAAAATCTAAACGCCTGGAACTCTAGGAACCATACTGTCTGAGGAATGCCACAAAGACAAAGGTGATATATAATCACCCAGCATTAAGTTTACCTGGGAAAAGATATTTGCTGTCGCAGCAACTCTGCTGTCCACGATACTATATAATATTGCTAATAATCTGTCCAGCGGAAATGGTTTTGGTCCAAGGAGATGATTGCTTGTCTGCAAGAAAAAAGAAGATAGATTTTCTTCTCATAGCTGAACACTCACTTCCTGTATGACAAACTCCCAATAACAATATATCTACACTGTACACAGTTCCCCAAAGATGCCAAGACATCTAACTTGCGGTCTCTACGTTAAAACTTGAACTGATATGATCACGATTTATCTTTTAACACTTTCTTCAAGATGTTCTGACCTGGCATTAACAAATATTAATTAAAGAAAAGAACTCACAAGTCACCAGCCTAGTCCTGAACACCACCCATTTCGCTGTTGTAACAGGATGACTTAGCCAAGTCATTTGCCAAGACGGTGCACAGCCCAAAGCAGGGTGCAGGTCCTAACTCCGTTACCAGAACTCACTCCTCACTGGTCACCATTCCTCTTTGTGCCCCTGCCTGGAAAATGTATTGTTCAACCTTAATCATTCTAAAAAGATCCGTTATAGCAAAAACTAGCTTAGAAAACTCGGAGAACGTTTTATCATTTGTGAATAAGCTGTCAGCCTGAAACAATACAAAATTTATTTAAAAAATTAAAAAATTGTAAAATTTCCATAGCTATATGAAGTCACACAGTACAATTACTTGCCATTAGAAAACTGCAGTGCTCCAAGTCCATTCTACTAGATAATTTTAGTAGCAAAGTACGATTTTAAGGACTCTATAATAGCAAAGGCAAATAAAATGGGAAACTATTTCTTAAAATGAGTGAATGTAAAGAAAAACACCTACTCAGAGTTACAAAATGAAGTATTTACTTCAGCTACTTATGTCTAAAAGATAGTTTAGAAATCATTTTCCAGGTCTTAAATTTTATTTGCTTTTGTCATTAAACACTTTACACATTTAGAAAAGTATAGAGTTTAATGTAATAAATATCAGTGTACCCACCACCCAATTTTATCAAGCCCAACATTATGCAGTATGTGCAGACACAAAACATTAGACCACATTACAGGTAAGTGGAGGCTCCCCGCACCCCTCTCACATTCCACTCCCCCTTTTCCTCCCTTGAGGGAACTGCCACCCAGAATTTGGTGTTTTTTCATGAAAAGGTTTTTTATTTTATTTTTTGGTGAGGAAGATTGGCCCTGAGCAAACATCTGCTGCCAGTCTTCCTCTTTTCGCTTGAGGAGGACTGTCGCTGAGCTAACATCTATGCCAATCTTCGTCCATGTTATGTGGGATGCCACTAGTAAAAACTAGCTTAGAAAAACTCAGAGGATGTTTTATAATTTGTGAATAAGCTGTGGCCTGATGAATAGTGCTGGGTCTGCACCCGGGATCCAAACCTGCAAACCCTGGGCCGCTGAAGCAGAGCAAGCAAACCCAACCACTACACCACCGGGCCAGCCCCTCATGATAGGTTTTCTACTAATACTACATATGTATCCATAAGCAATAAACAGCATTGTCTGCACGATCTAAAATCTCATACAAATAACATCATCTTGGACATATCACTCTACCAAATTGCTCTTCTCCTTCAACAGGTTTCTGAAATTCATCCAGATTGATACATGTAGCTCCCACCCATTTTTAAATACAGAACTCCATTTCATGACAAACCACTATCTGCTTTTAAAAATTCATGACCAATGATACTTTGAAGGCCAATCCCGTACACTTCTTCTCGGGCACGTGTGTGAGTTCCTCTCAGTGGGATGCGAAGCCAAAGTACAAGGCAGGGACAATGCCAAGTGTCTGCCAACACTGTTTCTTCTCGGGCGCACAGGAAGACCACATTTCTCAGTCTCCCCAGCGGGCACCTGGAGGCCATACGACCGAGTTCCAGCCGTGGACCATGGATGAAGTGATGTGAGCTACTTCCAAGCCCGACCTTTCAAACCACTGGGTTCTTTAGTCATCTTTCCCTTTAGTGGCAACTTTGGAGGCCACCATGTTTCACTCGACATCATTACAAGATGACGGAAGGCCACTCAACCCACATTCCATTGTGTCATGAGCGATATAATAAGCCTTTGGTGTGTAAAGCCACAGAGGGTTGGGGGTTTGTTTTATGCTATAGCACAGCCCAGCGTGTCCTGACCAATCAAAGCACATACACATATGCATTGACTTCATTAGATAGCGCCAAAATGCAGAACACACAGGCTCCTACTCCTCCACATCATCACCCACAGCGAGAATCATCAGAGATTTCAGTTCTGCCAACCCGAGAACGTGAAATGATATCTCACTCACTGTTGTTTAAAGCTGCATTTCTCTCATTAGTGAACGAGGCTGATAATCATGTCACATTTGTTAGACACTGAAGCTCCTTTGCATATCATTTAGCCATTAATCTATTGGATTTTTGCCTTTTCTTACTGGTTTGTATGAGTCACTAAAAATTACAGACACTCATCATTTGTCAGTTGTACGAGTTCAAGAACAGCAATCAAGATCACGGTAGCTTTGGAGTCAGAAAGTCCTGGAAGTAGACACTGGTTCTACCATATTAACTATGCAACCTTGGGCAAGTTACTGAATTTCTCTTTAATACTCAGTTTCCTCATCTAGAAAGTGAGGATAACGATAGTCACCCACATTCATCAGGTCACTGTGAAAATTAAATAAGATGATAAACAGAACTTAACAGGGCTTGGCTTGCAGATGCCCAGCAGCTTGTACTGTCATCATCATGATACACTTGTTTATGCGTTTTTTCTTTTCTAGATAAATGCCTTGAAAACAGGAAATGTTTTATTTACCTTCTTATCCCTAGCACTTGGGATGGTTAGTTAAATAAATGAATGGATGAACAGATAGCGAATGAATGAAATGTTATTAGAGGGAAGAAAGAAAAAAAATAAAGGTAAATGTTAAGATATCTAAATGGAGTTGGTGTCCCTGTCCTCATTAACAGTGAGAAGTGACTTGACGTTAGGAAAATTACGTACATTCCTGAAGTGTTGGGAATAACGTGGGAGGCAATTCAGGTTGAGAGTCCCATTGTGAAAGTTGCTGATTCTTTTCTGATTTTCACTTTTGTTTTTATTGAAAGTGTTCTAGTGGCATGGAGGGCATACGCTATTTACCTTCTTCACTGACCTGGCCTCGTGTGCTACAGATGCAAACTGTTCTCACCTAGAAACGACGGCAAAGTCTGGGAAATCCCTCACTAGATTCACTGGAGCTCATCAGAGAGAGCGAAGGCCTGAGAGAACGGAGAAAGAATCGAAAAAGGGAGCCAAACAAAATACATTTTTGAGGAGATGAAAGAGAATCACAACTGATCTCAAGTTAAATCAAGAAAAATAGAGACAGGAACAGAAACCTAAGAGTTATGGGTATCTAGACCAGAAAAACTAAAACAAACATTTAAAAGAAGTTTCCTGTGGGAAATGGGACTATGGGTGAGGAGGAAAAAGACTGTTGCTTTCCCACATACACTAATTGGCAGGTAATCTCCAACCCCACACATGCATTAGCTTAAGTAAAAAGTAAAATCTCAAAAAATCAGTGTCGGGGCCGGCCCAGTGGGCATAGCAGTTAAGTTTGTGCACTCCCCTTCGGCAGCCCAGGGTTCACTGGTTCGGATCCCGGGCGCAGACCTACACACCGCTCATCAAGCCATGCTGTGGCAGGCGTCCCACATACAAAGTAGAGGAAGATGAGCACAGATGTTAGCTCAGGGCCAGTCTTCCTCAGCAAAAAGAGGAGGATTGGCAGCAGATGTTAGCTCAGGGCTAATCTTCCTCAAAAAAAAAACAAAAAATCAGTGTCAATTGAGGATACACAGAGAAAAAATTATACACTTGAAGACATATAACAGATTTAAAACAACTGTTATGATAATTATTTGTGGGGTCTGCTTCTCAATGTTTGATTCCCTGATCAAATTGAGAGCTTCATGAGGGCAGAGACCACAGCTATTTTGTTCTCCACTACACCCATGGCATCTAGCAGAGGGCTTGGCATAAGGTAAACATTCAGTCAAGATTTCAGGAAGAGAGGGAACAAAAACATAAAAAAACAAGTAAGTGTTCACAGGGGGCCTTCAGTTAAGCTCAGATTTTAAAACGATATGAACCGAAGAAAAAAGAGACTACTACAAAAGTCAAATCTGTGAGGACAACGTCAGAGGAACTAGAGTTCATCCAGACTTGAGACATCTTCGTGACGTCTGCTCACGCGGTTCCCTCCGTCAAGACTGCCCTTCTCCTAGACTCGGACAAACCCACTCACTCCACAAGGACCGTCTAAAGTGCCAGCTCGTTCACAGTTTCACCCATCAGCACTCACGCATCTCCCTCCTCAAAATTCTTCAATGACTTTCTCTGTCTAAAGAGTAACACCTAAAATTCTTAGCTTTATGTTCCTTCTTTAACTTTCTTCATCCATTCATTCAATGAATTCATCTGTTCAAAAAACACCCACGAAATACCACCAAGTGCTGAGGTACAGAGGTGAAAAGATGGGCTTCCTTCCCTTAAGGAACTGGTGAGTTAGACAATTTGGCCTCAAGTGACTTCTCTCTGAAACTCCCCATATACTCCAGTCAACTATATTTCATTATTTCTTTTATATACCCTACAATTCCTCACCTCTGCTTCTTAGCATACCTCATTTCCTCAACTGGGACATCCTCCTCTCCCATCTCTGCATGCCCAACCCTTACCACTCCTGAGTGCCCACTGAGATGCAAGCCCTACCACAAATCATCCCCTGACCACCCCAGCGAGGAGTACTCTCTCCCATTTATCCTTTAGGACCCAAAGCAGCCACACATATAGAAATAGGGTACACAATCGATGGCCTGCCTATGGTGGAGAGCCTAATCAGAGACGTCCCAGTGGAGGGGCATACTAAAAAACCTTCCCATGCCAAGCAAATGGACTTGGTAAGGAAAATTCCCTGCTAAACTCTGGCTCTGTGTGAAGGGAGGAAAAAGCCTTCGCTGAGAATTTTAACTAGAAGCTGGGGCTAATGCTAACGCAGGGGCATAATCCACAATATCTTAGTGGTATGGAAACCCCCAGGCTGAGAACTGAATTTCAAATGGTCCCAGGTTACTGGTGTTCCTAAGTGCCCACACAGAAGTAAACGTAAAAGCTTTCTAAAGGAACACCCTCAGGCCTCAAAAACTCCAGAGACTAAGTTCAGCCAACAATCAAAAATAACAAAATGTTCAGGAAACAAGGCATCATGTGCATGAGTCAGCAAAAACAGAAATGTGGGATTAGCCTGACAAGGACTTCTGATACTGGGATATAAGGTGCAGAATATAAAATAGGTTTTTTTATGTTAAAGAGAAATATGACTAGGAAAAATATTAAAGTGACCAGACAGACCTGAAATGAACCAGCAAAACTTCTAAAGATTACTGAAATTACAAAGTTGATACAAAGAGCAGAACAGATAAAGCTGAAGAGAAAACTGGAACACAGAACTGAAGAAATCACCAGAACACAGCACACAAAGGGAACGAAGAATGTGAAAGACTCTGAGACAGGGTGGAGAAGGTCTGTCATACGTCTGATCAGTGTCTCAGGAGGACGAACTGGAAAGGCCAACAACCGAGAATTTGCCAGACGTGAATACAGGCATCATTATTCAAATTCAGGAAGCAAAACTAATCCCAAGTAAAAGGAAACTCAATCCCAGATACACCCCAGTGATACTGTACAAACACCAAAGGGAAAGAAGAGAACCTGAAAGCAGCCACAGGAAACACAGACAGAAGAACAGACCAACGGGCAGATTTCCCAGGAGCCACAATAAAGCCAGAAGACAGTAAAGAACGTCTTCAAAGTCCTGAGAACACTCTCAATTTAGAAGTTTAGCCAGTGCAAAACCGTTTTTAGGAAGGAGAGCGAGAAACAAACCACGGCTTCTAGAGCGCAAAGTCGACGGGTCAAACGTCTCCCTCTTCTGAGAAGCAGGGCGGTTCAGACGTACAAGCGGACAGGTGATTCAACAGCCTAAACGCTCGTCTCCCCAACTTCAGCCTCGCCCACAGCCCTCCCTTCCAAGGTACTTAGAGCCTCTAACCCCTAAGCTTGTCCAGACTCCTCAGCTCACATCAGCTTGCTTCGGGGGTTAGGTTTCAGCCTTCCCTGTCTGCTTGGGCACCTGCCTAGCCACTATGCAAGTCCAAAATTTGCAGGTCTCTCATCTGCCTAGTCCTTAACAGTTTACCTTTTTAATTTCTCCAATGTCATTTTTGTGGGTGTTTCAAAGGGGAAAAGAGGAAAATCACCTGTGTTTAATTAAAAAATTCCAGGGTGATCTTTTTCATCTATTAATTCACTAAAAAAAAAACTGTGTCAACTCACTTTCATCTCTATTACCAGCTCACTGCAACTGAATTCTATCACTGCATTCAAAATAACAAATACAACCACGACATTATAATGACACCATATCAATACAAATAACTACCTATATACAAATGACTAATTATGCATTTATCCACTGCCTGTAGTATCCTAAATTCGTAAGCTTTTCCCATTAGAAAATGTAAATACCTTTTCATGTTTCTTCAGAAAGTTGGTTTTCTTGATTTTCCCATGATGCTGCAATTAAGGAAAATAATTTAAGATTAAAAAAAGATAGTATTCCACAAAAACAGAAAACATTATTTGTCTAAATATAGCACACACAATACTAACTTATTTTAGTATTATATTTTAGGCTGATTTGATTTAGATTTTGATTGTATACAAGATTACTTTTGCATGTAAAGAAAGAGGTTTTAAAATAAAATAGTGGTACTTCCTAAAAGAACTTGTTACGTGATTTATGACAGCATATTTATTTCTATGCAAACAAAATTTCCAAAAATAAATAGGTTTTTATTCATCCCTTAAGGCAGGCTGTCAATTCACAAAGAAAACACTGAGAGCATTTAGTTAAGCACTTGAGATCAGCAGTGGGGAAAAAAACCGGATGTAGTCCTTGCCCTTATGAAACTAAAGACCAGTGGGATAGGGAGGCAAAAAAAAAAAAAAGTTTATTATAAATACTTTTAAGAATAAATCAAATTTCGTATTTTTTTCCCAAAAAGAAAACAATTCTAAAATGGGATTTCTCCCGCTGACGTACATGCAAAGAGGCTCCTGAATGTTCTGGATAATAATGTATGAAGTACATGACACCACAGTGTGCGCTTTAGAACAATAAAGGCATTACCATCCTTAAATTATTTCCATCTCTCATACCTTATTTACGTATTTTTTAAACCTAGAATTGTTACTTAAGGTACACGTGAACTCTTCTGTGAAACTACCCATGTCTCCCTGTCAGGCTGCGATCTTAATTTACAGCCGTTAGAGAATGAGTCCTAAATACATATTTAGCCATCTCTTATTCTAATCTCTGCCTCTTAGAAATTTAGAGATGTTGAGAAATTTCAAAATATTCCTGGGATCTTCAAAAATGAAGCGAAAAGAAGCAATAAGTACCTTAAGGAAGAACCTCTTGTCAGTTCTTGCTGGATTGTATGAAGCGAGGTACGCAGCAATCAGAATAAACTTAGAGTAATACGGAAGCTCCACGTGAGTATATGCCGAGAGACCTATGCAACAACATGCTTTTATGAAGGCATTTAGTAGCCTACCATTAGATTTTCAGTATCTTTTATCTTTTCTCACTTGTCTTTACACTTCTATACAGTGCTCTCTAGTCAAAGTGACCTGCTCCCTGAGCTTCAAGTGTCATGATAATGATGGCAGCGGCGAACGTTATTATTAATGAGAAGCTCTGCTTGCTCTACTGTTTTTGTTTGGCTCCTCCTATCCTGAGGTCTAAATCCTACCCACCCTGCCCCTCAATGCCACACCCTCCGTTAACCCTTCCCCAGCGTGCCCCTACCAAACCAAAATAGAGAAGTCGGTCTACCATGAATTCCGACTTTGTGTATTTTACTTATGGCTCATCTAACTTAGATCTTACGTTAACAGTTAATTATACATAAATATTTCTTAGAAAGCTATAGTGTTTGCTGAAGGAGTCATATCTAATCTATTTTTTGCATCCCCACAGTACCTTGCACAAAGGAAATAATTCAATAAATGGATCAATGAAACAAGAGAGGCAGTCAAGCAGCGTGCATTCTTACCAGAAGGGGAGAAGGAACCTGGTAATTGCTGAACATCTAGTATGTGTAAGACACTGTGCTGGCCTCACTTAAGCATCTCCGAATCTTTGCAGTAACTTAAATCTAGAAATTCTCCCCATTTTAGATCAAGACTCTGAATTGGGCTCCAGGTCACACAGTTAGGGAGTAGTGCAGACCAATTATTAAAGTTTTTCTAACTCCAGCATCTACTTCTTTCCATTCTAACACGGAACTAAACATCACTTGTATAGCATCTCAAGCACTTAGAAACCAAGAGACAAAAAAAATCTCAACACCACTTCATTTCATACCACTTTCCCAACCACCAGCCACTGATCTATTTTCAAACTAAGAATATTTTAGATACTCACTTATTTTTTTAAAAAAGTAAATGTAGTTCTATTGGGGTAAATCCAAAATAATAATTTCTTTAAAGCAAACAAAAGGGGCCAGGCCAGTGGCGTAGTGGTTAAGTTCACACACTCCGATTCAGCGGCCCGGGATTTGTGGGTTCAGATCCTGGGCACGGACCTACACACCGCTCAACAAGCCATGCCAAGGTGGCATCCCACACACAAAACAGAGGAAGATTGGCACAGATTCAGGGACAATGTTCCTCAAGCAAAAAGAGGAAGACTGGCAACAGACGTTAAGTTCAGGGCCAATCTTCCTTACCAATGAAAAATAAATGAATGAATGAATGAACAAATAAAAAATAAACAAACAGAGGCATAAAGCTTTCAAAATATAACCAATTTAAATGCATACCCCAAACTACCTTAACATAAAATTGAATTTTATTTCATAAAACTCATGAAATACACAGATAATGAGACAAAATTATGTATATAATTGATTGTTTTAACGAAAGCATTTAAAAAAACATAAACTGCTTCGTTTTCACATGACATAATCCAACATTTAGAAAATGAAAAACTGGTATTCAAACTTTATTTTCTCCCACTAAATTGGAGCTTCCCTTAAAAGAAAATCATTAAAATACCATTGTATTGTAAATTCTCTTTTATAACCCTACTGACTGACACTATCTTTAGTACTAACTTTAGTCTCCTGACTATTAGGGATCAATTAAAGAATTGTCTCTGGTAACTGTTCAATATTTCCTTTGATACCTTTCAGCTGTCCTGGATCTGTGTCATCTTTCTGTATCTTCTCCCACTGTGAACTGAAAGAAAATAGAAGAGCAAAAAAGGATTGAAAATATGATTTTCAAATTGAAATTGATATGAAATCAATATACTATACTTAAAACAGAGTCCTAGAAAAGCTAAAATTTTCTGATTTATTGACAAAATAGATTTAATTTCCCTATAAACAAGACAAGCAATATATACACAAAATATACACGTTTGTAGTCTCTACAAACTCATTTAGTGTATAACAATATAAAACTCATATATCAATACTCAGATGTTAATTTCTTAAAAAATCTCTTTTCCTCTGATGATAATTGTAAACTATCAAAAAGCACCAACAAATAAATAACATCACCTACCAGTCAATAAAATTCCCAATGCTCCAATTATCATATTAAATACAACTGTTATACACTATTTCTAAACTCCCTAACAATCTCTTAACATAACTACTTTTGGGTCAGAAACCTGGGGCCCACATACGATGCCCAAGGTCACCCAGGCAGGCGGCAGTGGAGCTAAGAGCTCACTCCTTGGAGAACGCCTGCAGAGTTCATGCTGTTCCCGCCGCCCCACTCTGGTCTTTCTTGTAATTAAAACTATTAGACAGCCCTAAATATCAATAAGATTATGAAGTGATTTTGATACGGCAAATCAAATTCATAAGAAAACACACCACAGTGTAGTGAAAAAACTACCCTAGGAGGCAGAAGTTTTGGCTATATGACCCTGAATAAATCAATGACTGATCAAAAAATAAGGCAGTTAGATACAATGATCTTTATGGACCCCCTCCAACTCTAAAACGCTCTTACATGGCTCTTAAAATACTAATTTAAAACTAAATGTCAGATCAGAACAATTAAATATCTAAAATCAAACTGTACATATTTTTTCAAATCTGCAAGCATAGCTGAATATTCTGGAATATAGCAATATGGGAAATTTTGATAGGCTACTAGTAACCTATGCGGAGAGCAGACCTAGCAGAATGAGCTGACTTTCAAAATAGCCCGCTTCCTCCACCTTATGGCTGCACAGCACTTCACAGGTTATAGTGCATTTTCACATTCATTACTCCTTATAAATGCAAATGAAAATATGTTATATCAAAGTTTTAACCCAGACTTCAAGACAGTTTAAGTGGCTAAGATTTTCTTATATTGCAATTACTCATTTAACGTGTTATTTAAACTCTCAAAGGACAACCAGGAGAAAACTAAGTGTCTTAAAGGAGAAGGGAGGAGACCAACATTTACTAATTGTCTATTATGAACTCAACTCTTAACATACCTCATATTTAATCCTCATAACCTTTTGAGATATATAGTATCATGTCTTTTTTTCTTTACAAATGACAAACTGAGAGAGAACTTAACTAAGTTGACTAAGGTTGCAAAGCTTCTAAGTGGTAGAACTGCATTTCAATTAAGATCTGTCTGACTAAAAAGTTCCTCCACGTTCCAAAGTAAGACATATGAACCATCAGTTTCCAGCGTTGATTCGCTGTCACAGTAGTTGGATTAACTGTGGCTGAATAGACTATAATTTCAAGATGAACCAGGGAACAAGGTTGGAGTCTTTTTCATAATTTGTCCAAATCCCTCATAAAAGCCATAAACCAACATATATTCCCAATAACACCTCAATGAGTCAGGATCTAGCCTTCTATAACCGGATTCTCCTTTTCCTTTATTCTGCTAACCCCAATTATTTAGCCTCAATTCAGAAATATGAAATGTGATGATTATTATTTTTAACTTAGTGAAAATTTTATTACACATGGCTGCAGGGGGGGGCTAGGGGGTAGAGGGGAGAATGGATAAGTCACTTCACCATGAAGGAATTTCAGTGGACCAGTAGGTATCACCAGGCTTAGAATGCTAGTTCTCTACTACACTACTGGAGAGTCCCACTGGTCCTTGATGCCGGCAGTGTGAGGAGAAAAGGGACCAAGGGCATCATCTACGATGACTACAAGGTAACCAGCTGGAACAAAAATGCAAACTATCCTAAATACCAAAAGAAATTTTTCAAAAAGACAAAGAATATAACCACGTAGAGAAACTTCAGCAAATTATCATGACAAAGCTAATATAAAACATATATACTTTATTTCAACAAATATAAACAGGTGTAACTCACCAATTAAAGAAAAGGTTTTCAGAACGCCTCAGCGAGGCAGGTCAGATTAGCAATGCTTATTTCTGTGCTCTGTACTTTTTTGTGAAAGAAACATAGTACAGATTATATATTAATTGCAAGAGGAAGATGTCTTTGCATATATAAAGATATATGTGAATATTCACATATTTTTGAAAAAAGATGCAGAAGCCAAACCAGAAATTATCCATGTGGTTAGGAAAGGAGTAAAAGGGGAAAGGACAGCTGTGAGACTTCTCTGAGTACAAGAGAGTTTTAGCTCATGAATCACTCTTTGACACCCACCTCTCACCAGCACAGCAATCAATGACTTTGTTCTACTTGGACCTTTCTCTTTCTCTTCCTTCCCTAATTTTTAACTTTGTAACTGTGTTATTCCTACCCTGTCAGAACATATAATATTTACATAGGATTCTCCTACCCTTGTTCCCACTTTTAGTTTTGAGCTAAAATGAATCAAATTCAGTGCTCATCATCAGTCCTTTGGCTCAAGTTTCCCAGTCATTTCCGTTGCACCAACGTCGTCACTAGCTCTTCAGAAAGGGTTTATGAGCACAGCGTTCCCTGAGTTCTCACGTTTAAAACTGTTCTTCCATAGCCCTGATGCCTGAATGACAGGTTGGCTGGATATCCTTTCTCCCTGAGTTTCTTGAAAATGCTGCTCCACTTACTGTCTTGCTTTATTACAGATTCGCTTTCCTTTGTAAGTGACTTATCTTTTTGTCTGGAAGCTCAGAGATGGTTTTCCTTTAATTTTTATTTCTGAAGTCTAAAAGCATTACAAGCAAGTCCTTGTAGTAGGCTGAATAATGGTCCCTGAAAGCTGTGGATGTCCAAATCGCTGGAACCTGTGAATGGGACCTTAACGTGGTGAAGGGGACTCTGCGGAGTGAGTGAGTTGAGGATCTTGATATGGGGAGGTTATTCTGGATTATCCGGGTAGGCCCGATGTAATCGCAAGGGTTCTTCTAAGAGGAAGACAGGAGGTCAGAAAGCAGAAAAATGATACGCCGCTGGCTTTGAAGATGGAGGAAGGAGCCATAAGCCAAGGGATGCAGGTAGCCTGTAGACGCTGGAAAAGCGAAAGGAACAGATTCTTCCCCAAAACCCTCAGAAGGAAGGCAGCCCTGTGCACCCATTTCAGACTTCTGACATCTGGAACTGTAAAATAACAAATGTGTATTGTTTTAAGCTACTAATTTGTGGGCATTTGTTACAGAGTAATAAACTAAGACAGTTTCAGAACTGGCCACTCTGGATCAATGCAAAGATGAACCCTTTGCCACTTCTGGCAAGTTTTCTTGGACTATAGTTTAAGATCTTAATTCTAATCCAATGCTTAGTTTTCTTTCTTCAGGGGCTCCCATTACACATATGTTGACTCTTCTTTGCCTATCACATTTATCGCACATTCTACTTGATTATTTTTACCTATTAGTTCTGTCCTCTTGGTTGTGTCCACTCCTCTGCTCAACATCCTTTATTATATTCTCGATCTACCCCCCCTTGGATATTTTAAAATTTCATTTCCTTTCTGAGATGATTATTTTTGCTTGAATCTTGTTCCTGAGTTCGGCCAATGTTTGCTTCACATCCGCCTGTTCTTTGTCCACTTATTCTGAGCTGCTGAATTTCTAACTTAAGGTACTTTTCATATCTAAAAATGCTTGTGTAAAAGAATTAAATCAGGTTGGAGGATTGTGTTACAGTGTTCCTCTGCCTTATTTTGAGTGGGACAGGGGAAATTTTCATCAGCTAAAATGTTGTCATTCACATTTTCTGTTTCTTCTTAGAACACTTTTATATGGCTTTCTGTCTTGTCTGCTCTTCATTCTGAAATGCCTAACTAACGTTTTCTTGGATCAGCAGTAAGAGATGACCCTATGAATGCAGGGCTGAGGGCCTGTGGGGGCTTCGCAGATTTCTTCGTTCTAAAGTGGCTTCTTCTGTACGAATAATGCAGTGTGGCTTCTTTGACACAGAGGGCCATTTTGAGGCAGGGGCTGGCTTACCTTCTGATTCTGTCACTCTTTTTGTTTGATGGGGGGTAATGTCATCCGTGCCTCGCTTCTCTCTTCACTACAAGCCTCCAGACGACACCACAAAATCACATCCCTGTCTCCCCTCAGACACAGTACGGTTCCACACTGCCATGCTATTCTTGTCCTACACACTCTTAAAACACCTCCCATGATTCTCCAGTGGCCAGTGCTCTGATCCTTCGGGTCCCAGACTTGTTCTCAGTATCCTCCCTCTGGGAACTGGACTCCCTTCTGGAGGTGATTTCACCACTACTGGTCAACCCCACCCCCGCCCCCACTGTCCTCTCTTCTCTTCCCTGACGTCCTGGCTTAACTTTTCACTTGAGCATGAGCTCCAGAGCTGGCTCGGCTGCCTCCAGTTGCTTATTTCACTATTTACATACAGATTGAAGTCTGTCCACTCTACAGACTCCTAGTTAGACTGCAGGCAAGGGTTACGAGTGATTTTATTTGCTCTCCTTATTGATCTTGTGGACAGAACTGGATTTAGGTGGCCATCATTATCCTACGGGAAACTATAACTCCTTTCATCATTACGTAAGATTCATTTTAACCAGCATCCAAATTTTTATACCTTTAAAAGAGCAGATGACAAGCTTTTTTATTCTCTGACTTCCGGAAGTCCTCATCAAATGCCTTTCATTATTGAAAAGTGGAATAATAGTATCTTTGTAATGTTTCTACTTATTCAGAAACTATTAAATTTTGACCTGAATTACAGTCTAATCAGCTAACTTAATCAAAAGCAAAGTTAGTAATGAAAGGAGTTAACAGAATAAGGTTATTTATGGGAGAAAAATGATAAAACTGACAATAAAGTGACAAAAGCAGATAACGGTGATGTTTACAAATTTCCTATATTGCTTTGTAACCTAGGCTTAACCTAACGCCTAAAGGTGCTTGATATTCACAAAACATTTTCACATATAACATTTAAATCCTCTAAAGACTGTGAGAAGAAGAAGCCAAGACCTAGAGGTTTTAGGTGATCGGCCAAGACCACAAGGCAGAAAATGCCTGAGCCAGAAATCAAAACCCTCTTCTTCCCACTACATTACGTGCCACCATCTCTCCTGAGTGGTTTCATGACTACGAAATTCTAACAATAGACAAATATTGATTTATAATGATTTATACATTTCTTTAATAATCAAATTTTCATTATACCAAATACCTAACGTAAATATAAAAAACAAAGACAAAACTGATTTTCCTGCAGCTTTCCAGATTAAAAAAAATAGTAACTGTCAGATTTTACTGCGCTTCACTTTATTGCACTTTGCAGATACTGCATTTTTTACAAGACCGCCCATCAACAAAAAGATTACGACTCACTGAGGGCTCAGATGATGGTTAGCATTTTTTAGCAAAAAAGTACTTTTTACTTAAGGTGTGTACATTGTAGGCATAATGCTATCGCACACTTAACAGACTACAGTGTAGTGTAAACATAACTTTTATACACACTGGGAAACTAAAAAAGTCCCTGTGACTCGCTTTATTGTGATATCCACTTTACTGTGGTCTGAAACTGAACCCACATTATCTCTGAGATAGGCCTGTATGCCTTGTTTCAAATTGTGTATCATATTGGTTAAAAACTGTTTACCCTTCCCAAAATAATAAGAAATGGTTCAAACCTCAAGAGCTTTTTCCCAATGTGAAGAAGGAAAATGAAAACATGGACATTTCAGTAAATACCCCAAATAAAGATACAGAAATAATACACTTACTAAAGAGAAAATTACCTTGATATTTCCCTGAGATAAACAGTCTGCATGGCTTTCTTCAAATGAGGTTCAACATTTCTCCAGAGTTTGCGAGTATCACGTTCACTGGCTACCGCAAAGGGGAGACAATTTCAGTAATTCAGATCTTGTAGAAATTTTTTCAAAAGAAATATTAATAAGTTACACCCATAGTTACCTTCTCCTTTAACCACAGGTTCACAATATTTAGGAAAATTAAGCACTGCCTGTAAATAAAGGAAGCAAAAAAAGAGAGAAAAAGCACTTATTACCATAATTAGAAATTATTTTTCAAGTAAAATTTTATTAGAATTCAATCATTTTATTTCAATACAATTGCTCAAGTAAACTGTTATTGTAGCTTATAACTACAGTAATAAAACAGCAAATATCAATGATAGTAAAACAACATGCAAACTATTCCTTAATTGGCTAACTCCTGCCTAATGTACTAGCCTCTAGATATAAAGTAATACAACAAAGCATAATTTGTAGTTTTAGGTCATAATTATGTCACAAAAACCATAAAATATACAATAAAATACTTCTAGCCCAAAGAATTAGTGTGTTATTTCCCAGGTTTGGACATTCTCACACGTCAAACAGCATCTAGTTCGGTACAACTCCAATTCCATGAGCGGCAGCCCCGCCTGCGAGTGTGGTGAATCCAGCTCCCGGCAGCGCCCGGCACCCTGGACCAGAATCCCTGAGGATGGGGTGCAGGAGCCTGGTAACCTCTCTAGGTAGCCCATGTATTCAACAGTTTGAGAAGCGCTAACTAATCAGGATCACTCAGAAGCCTTCCAGGACGCAGCGCTGGAACTACGGAAAGGCAGTTTAGGAAACTGATAAAGACATGCTGCTGCCACTCATTAACGTTAACTTGCTCGCACGTGTTTCATGCTGAAGTGATTCAATAACGAAGCCTAGAGGGAAGACGCTCATAATGTGTGATCACACAACCTCAAACTAAGAAGATAACAGACGCCTAAAAAACAAATCCCTGAGACGGTTTTTCCTATTTTATTTCATAAACCGCAACCGTTTAGGCCAGCAAAACCTTCCAAATTCTGCTAACATTAAGCGTAGTTCGAAGCCAACTTTCTTACCTTGGTTTCAGGCCAGTAACACCAAGATGTCATAATGTTACTATCGACTGGTAAACAACTTGGCTAAATAAAAATATCCTGCTTTTTTTCTTGGTTGAAACATTAAATATGTTTAATCATTTACAAATAGTGGTAAAAGGGCAGTAAAGATAATTTTAGGAGACTATTTTCCAGTTTCACTTTAATAAATTAGTATTTTCCCCACGTCATCCCACAAGAACTTACTGAGTCTATAAAACTATGAGGCTATAATGAGTACATTTAATTGTCCAAATACGATCTTTATATTTAAGTAAATCTAGAAAGCCTAGCCCTTACTAACAACTGGAAGTTTACAAAGTATCTGTTCAAATACAAAACACTTTTCACAACTTTGGCTATTAACATTCAAGTGTGCTCTCCAATATTATGCTCATTTCTTCTACATTAATCCTCAAATATAAACAAATTCTCACTTCCCTGCATTGGGATTATTTACAACAAAATCTAAATTCCAGCCCACTGGTATTTTAACCTGTCTCCCAACTACCCAGAGAATGAAAATTAAAAGGTTACTAACCTTTTAATAATTCAAAAGCCCAAGCAGAAATAATTTTTAGATGGTTTTCTGATATTATAAATTCCACTACCACTATACCTTCCCCCATATACGTCCCCATTATTCCTTGGGTATATAGTTTACTCTTAACTAGTCGCAATAACGAAAGTGGGAAGGGGACAGAGAAGAACTTTACTAAGAAATGATCATGTGCTCCGCAAACGCTCAGGATAGTAACAGAAGCATAATTACCAAGAGTTAATTATGGCCACCTGTTACCTCATTTATCCCTGACAACTGCACTTTTACTATGCCCATTTGTCAGCCAAGGGAACAGAAGCAAAGTATAACCTGCCTTCAGGCACACAGAGATTCCATTGCCTGAACTGATGATCGTGGATTTGTGAGATGTTCCAGGAATTTATTTCTAAAGCAATAAGGACGCCATGTTACCAAAGCCTGACTCAAGTGAAACAAAGAGAACATTTCCTTTATATTGCAAAGAAAAACTTGCATTTCTTTAGGAGGCAAAACAATCTATTATGAATACTGACTAGGTTGCCACAAGATAGGACAGGCAATTTACGAAGCTTTTCCAACTCTTCCTCAGCGAGATTTTCAACAAGATTTCATCATTGTATTTGAAATTATTTGTTAGAAAACAATCTGATACACGTATGTTACAGTAAGCAGAATTTTAAGATAGCCCCCAAGACTCCCAGCCCCTGCTGTACATAAACCTTCTCTCAGTTATTCAATCAAACACTGATTTAGGTACTGCTATGAAGGGATTTGGCAGATGCAATTAAAGTCCCAAAGATTATACTACTTCTGGGAGAACCAAAATAAAGAGATATAGGAGGAGTCTGACCTAATCACATGAGCCCTTTAAAAGCAGGAAGTGTTCTCCGGCTGGTCAGAGATGAAGCGTAGAGAAGGATTCACGGCGTCTTGGCTGGTTTGTAGACAGCGAGGGCCCCGTGGCAGAGAAGGCAGGTGGTCTCGAGGAGGCCTGAGAGAGACAGGCTGATAGCCTGCAGGGCAGCTTTGGACCTCATTCTCACAACCAAAAGAACTGAATTCTGTCAAGAATCTGAATGAGCTGGGAAGCGATTTTCCCCAGAGCCTCAAGATGAGAATCCCGTTCAGCCAAAACTTTAATTTTAGCCCGTGATACCTCATCACAGAAGCCGGCAACACAGTGCCTGGATTTCCAACCTACAGAACTGTGAGCTAATAAACAGGTATGGTCTTAAGCCAATAAATTTGTGGCAATTTGCTATGCAGCAATAAAAAACTAATACACATACTGAAGCATGGATGTAAAAGCATATTCCAAGGCCAAGTAGAAATAATTTCTGAACTGCTCTGCCTTTTTAAGAATACCTACATCCTATTTCTGAAACAATGGAGGAACAAAAATCAGAACTGAGAACATGGCATTAATGTTAATTTACAGTTTTCATCAAACAATGAGGCCCATGTGCCAGGTCTTACTATTCTAAGTGTTCTACATGCTTTACTCATTAAATCCTCTAAATGATCCATCAGGGAGACATTATTACTATCGCTCCCATTTTACAGAGAAGTTAAATTATGCTCTGAGTCTCTGACTTCCCCTTCTTTGATCAGCCACAGAAAACTCTCTGCTTCTAAAGGGCTGTGTGATCAGCTAAGACCCACCCTGATAATCACCCTGTCTTAGAATATCCTGAAGCCAGATGGATATGAAAAAAGGATTAAGTTGAAATTCTGATGAAGAGCAAGACCTTTACAAGGTTTCAAAGTTGCTCCCCACAAAATACATATTACAAAGTTAAAAAAAAAAAAAAAAGACCGTCTTAATCAAGTGATCAAAGTAAACATTATCAGGGGATAAAAATGAAATCCTCCAACACCGGAGAGGATTCACGGAGAGCACAGCATCATTTCTGTGACACTCCTGTCAGATACAACCTGAATCTAATCACGAGGAAACACTGGACGAATCCAAACTGAAGGAGATTCCACAAAACAGCTGGTCTGTAATCTTCAAAGGTCTCAAGGGCATGACGTTGAAGACTGAGGAATTGCTCCAGAAGCAAGTTCGAGGTACATGACAACTACACGCAACACGTGATCCTGAACTGGACTCTTCCTCTGAAGTACGTTACTGGGACAGCTGGTAAATCCTGAACAGGGTCTGAGGATTAGAGTACAGCAATGAACCCACTTTCTGATTTTGATGGTTGTACTGCAGTTATGTGGGAGCGTGTGTAGGAAATACAAACTAAAGTATTCAGGGGTGATGGGGCCTGAGGTCATAAACTTAATCCCAAACAATTTGGGGAAAAAGAGAGGAAGTTCTTTCTACTGTACTTGCAATTTTCCTGTAAATTAGAAATGCTTCCAAATTTTTAAAATAAATTTTAAAAACATCCAATATTTTTATTATCTAGTAAATACTATATCTGATTATCTAGTAAATACTACATCTGATAAAAATTATTAGAGCCAACTATTAACATGTCAGTACCACTGAATGTGGCTGTGATACAAAAAGGATTCTTAATGATTTAAGGCCATAAATAAAGGCACCCTGCAGAGGCACCACTGGGGAAGCTGGCTTACAGACCACTTCCTGTGGCCTCCATGTCTAACGAAGACCACGTGGCTGCTCAGAATGTGTTATAGCTTCACCCACTATGGAGGAATATCTCAAAGTGTTGAGCAAAAGGAGACAGATAAAAAGAAGAATACATGCTGTATGCTTCCATTTACATAATGTTTGAAAACAAACAAAGCTCACGTTTCATGTTAGAAGTAAGAATAGTGATCATCTCTAGGGAGGAAAGGTGGAGATTGAAAGGAAGCATGAATGGGCTCCCGGGGTGCTGGTAATCTTCTACTTTGTGGTAATTCATTGAGATACATACTTATGGTTTCTGTGCTTTTCTATATGTATGTTATACTTTAATCAAAAAGTTAAGAAAAAAGAAAAGAAAAACAAATCCAACTAGACTATTTCTCCTAATTAAAGACTCTGCCTCTCCCTTAAGGACCCTTAACCAAAGAATCGCTCTTCCCTAAGTGGAAAAGACACCCTCATCCATAAACCAACCAGCGTGAGGATATGAAAGAGTGGTGCAGGACACCCACCCACGCAGCCAAGGGTCAGATCAGATCTGGCACTCAGCGAATGACAGCTCTTCTGCCAGACGACCCCTCAGACTCCCTATGACTTTAATATACGACACGAACCTACAGCAGGTGTTAGCAGTCTCCACACGTGGGCTCTGGGTTATGTTCCTGGAGACAGTAAGATCTCACCACATTTTCAAGCCCGTGAACTCCTGCTCAGCAGAGGAAGGAACTAAAATTAACTGACCCCCAACAGCGATCAGGCATTTTACACGTGTTCCCTCTTTTTGCTTCACAAAATTCCTTTAAGGCAGGTATTATACCTACTTAACAGAGGAGAAAACTGAAGTTCAAAAAGGTTAAGTAACCTGCCCAAGATCAAACAGCTGGTAAATTACAGAACTTGTGTTTCTTCACGTGTAAAATAAGGGTCCATGATAGCCCCTTCCTTCATGGGGCTGCTGTGAGAAGTGAGTTAGTGCCAGTGAGAGGCTTGCTGGATGCGTGCCCAGCACACAGTTAAGTTCTCAATAAAGCTGGCTACTATGTAAGAGGAAGTGCAGTACAGTGCTATGAAAACATGCTTGGAAGACAGACCCTGTGACTCTTCATCCACAAAATCTTGTAACCATATTCATCTTAGTTCTCAGGGACCATTTTTCCCTAGTATACAATCATATAGTAAACAAGCAAAAATAATACGTATAGAAACACCTTACTGTACACTGTCTTTATGAACCCACAGATAGTTAGAGGACAGGTTTGCAACCACTTTAGAATTGTGCCAATCTCTTCCTCATCAAAAAAAAAAAATTGTTTAAAACACATGCTAAAGAATTTGAGATCTGAGCATGTCATGATACCTTCTGAAGAGAGGTGACCTTGGTGGTCAGCTGCACGTGACATAGCTGAGTTACGTGTGAGGCCGCGGAAGACGACCTGCACTTGGAGCAGCTTTTCGGGGCCACCCCCTTCACTGTCCTGCTGCCCAGCACCCCTGCTCCACTCTTCAAACATCCATGGGGCCACCCACCCAGCCCAAGCTCAAAAATAAGACCAGAACTTCTATTCCCTGGGAATAGAAGAACCAGAGAAACAGAAGGATAGAAGCTGGGTCCTGGCCACATGAAAAACAGCTATATTACTTAATTAAAATAATTCACAAAAAGACAATGATCCTCCCAGAAATTATTTGTATTTTAAAAGGAGAATATTTATTCAAATGACTTAGTGTTATCAGTAATATCACCTAACATCTTTACGGATATTTATTGTTTACAAGCACTTTAATACACAGTATTTCATTTTATGCTCATCTGAGGTATATATCCTTGGTCCCACCTTAGAAATGAGGGAACTGAAGTACGGAAAATTAAGTACCATACTCAACACAACACAGCCGGTAAGCAGCAGCGCTAAGGTATTTTAATATTAAGTTCTCTACTCATTCTACCATATATACTTTAATTATTTGGCACCCTCTTCTTAGTCATATGTCACTAGCTGCCGCCACTAGCCACAGGGCCAAACAAAACAAAACAGTAACAAAAAAAAAACAGGCATCAGAAACTCAGAAAATCAGAATTGCACTCTAAAAGATTACTAAGCTCTGGCTAAGCAATTCACCTTTTTGAGTAATTTATAAGAAAATTATGATAACTGAGGGGAAAAAAGTTTGAAATACAATAAATTTAGCCTGTGACAGATGTTTTAAAAAAGATGATGCAAAACTAAAGTTTATTTTAGAAAATGAACTATTCTGTGTTTGGCATTTATATAAGTATAAAAATAACTTCTTCAATCGACCCTTTCAAAAATTATAATTACCATTTTTTTAGGAATATCATCAGGATGGTCAGAGAAGACAAAGCTAAATGCATACTCAAAGCAGTCCTTTTCTTTCTCCCGTCTTGTGCTGTCCACAGAGCTAGGCTCCAAAAAATAGCTACAGACATACCAAATTCCTAAAGCAAATTTGAAAGCACATACACAGAAAAGAATCCTTTGCAGGTAAACTTTGAAACAAATAATCGTATCCATTTGAAGGAAAAAGGGAAAATACTTCTTTATTATCCTATGTTCTACATATGCAGAAAAATAAGACCACTATGCTATGTTTTCTGCAATGTGTAAGGATTATTTCTTACACTTACTAGTATTACTAGCAGCAGGAGAAGCTTAAACCACACTTCAAGCTTCAAGTTTATGAATATAAGGCAACAATAAAAAAAGCTATAACCTTAAAATAAAAAAAGCTATTAAAAAAGCTATTAAAATTAAAAAAGCTATATCCTTTAATAAATTCATTCCTCAGTGAAATGCAAAGGACTCTATAAAATACCATATTTAAATACAGATTTTTCTCCTTTTCCATTTTCTTTTCCAAAGTAGCTTCCCTAAATAACTCTTCCTTCTCGTACTTTATAATCTACTCTGAAATGGCTGCCAGCACTGATTCCCACAGGACGCAAGGAGACTGGTGCTAAGGAGCAGTAACTCCAAGTCATTTCCCAGGAAGGACAGTGGACGAGTATCTGCGCTGACTCTCTCCCCCTCTGTAAGCCCCTCTGCTGTCCTTCCTCCTGGACACCAGGGATCCCAGACGTTCAACTTCTGGAGAGGTTTTGGTGATGACCTTGAAGCAGAACAACCCGCCTTTTGTTTTCTGCCTATTCAGAAGATGCTTGAAATTTACATCTGTATCAGAAGAGGTCTAAAATCCAAAACTTCCCAAAACGTACTAAATGTGAACGCGATTTTAAATGGTCATCTTCTCCTAGGTTCTGTCTCAAACACACACTGTATCTGTCTAAAACTTTTCAGAGCAAAGAAAAGAATAGAGCAAAGTGAAGAAAATGTGCTAAGAAATATAGAAACTGTTGCTTTGGAAGTTACTGTTTTCCAGCCTTACATATATTACTGTTTTCTGTGACATGGAGATAAGATCTTAAGTATTAATGGAAGGTTTCTAAAAGGGAAACCAGACATTCTTGCCTCCTTGCTTTCACATCCCCATAATTAAAGTAGAGAGAGGTCAAAGAAAAATGAAAGTAAATATGATCATTTTCCAAACCGCCTGTGAAATACAAACAGCTGCTCTAAGGTTTTAAATTTTTTTAAGTAATCTTTTATATAAATATTAAAAGTAATCCTTTATATAAAGATTACTAACTCAAGGTCAGTGGCTAATGAAAGACCTGTAATTAAAGGTTCTGACCATACTCTAGTTCACCTGGATTCCAGACCACTATCACTACATATATAAAACTTGAAAGAAATTCATTACAAAAAAACTTGTTACAAAAAATTAACAAAGAAAGGTAAAATTGCTTAAGTTTTTACACCTCCTTTCTGTGACCCTTCATTGTGATTTTAACAGAGTTCTACATTTTCTACAATTAGAGAAGAGAGAAAGAAAGAAAGAAAGAAAAACACTGCTTTGCAACGTATACAAATGTCAAATCATTTTGTTGTGCACCTGAAACTAACATAATCATGTTGTAGGTCAACTACACTTCAGCTAAAAAAAGAAAAAAACACTCCTAAAGAAGAATGAAAAGACATAACTAAAGATGAATAAACGTTTTCTGACCGGGTCAAAGTTTGTACTAACCCACAGACTTCACTTTCTTGTGCTATACTAGCCTCAAAAGGTCATATCCAAAACTTGAAGAATAAATTTTCGGCTTCTAGCCTATCTCACACCATTTCTACATGAAAAAATATTAAAAGATGTACATTTTTTTTAAAGCAAAATGCTCACTCACCAGATGTCTGAGCTCTTTCAAATCTCGACAGACGGTGTAGAAAACCCCAAGAAGAATATTAATGTAGGCAGCATAGAAATCAGCCGAATACTCTGGAGGATGGTCATGGGACAGGATCTTCTGAAGGTTCCCTGTTCACAGGACACAAATGAACACAGATGATTAACACAGCACCATGGTTATACCTTCCAGCATTTTACAACAAAGATTTAAAACAATGAATACACAAGTCCAGCAATTATTAAGGAATAATAAAACGGTTACAAGATTAGAATAGAAAAGTGATACAAATTTTGAAACTAAGGTAGAAGCAGTATGAATCTAATATTCTAAAAAAATTACTAACTGTTGCTTAAGACAAATATTAAACAGTGACATCTAAAGAAAATCTCAAGAACCTCATTACAGGCAAAATCAATATCAAAGGTGAAAAATAACATGGATTCTAGTTTATTTTTCTGCCAATTAAGTAAATTAACTACAAAAAAAACAGGGGCACTGCATAAACTACCACCAAACTGGAAAACGCTCTTCATTTTTAATAAAATGAAAAGAATTCATGACTTTTTTTTTTTTGGAGTAAGATTAGCCCTGAGCTAACATCTGCTGCCAATCCTCCTCTTTTTTGCTGAGGAAGACTGGCCCTGAGCTAACATCCGTGCCCATCTTCCTCTACTTTATATGTGGGATGCCTGTCACGGCATGGCTTGACCAGCAGTGGGTAGGTCCACACCCAGGATCTGAACCGGCAAACCCCAGGCCGCCAAAGCAGAATGTGGGAACTTAACCACGGCGTCACTGGGCTGGCCCCAAGTATTCATGAATTTTTTGATGAATCATCTTTATTTTGTCATTCATCCTTCTATAAAACATGTTTTCTTCCTACAGCTCTGGTGTCTTTCTCTTCTACCTCGAACTCTTTATATAATATCACGTGGTTAGACATAGTTTATCTTGCTAGAAATATTCTATCTTAGAAGCAGAGTTATTGCTTAAGGAAAACAACTACCTATTATTAAAAATTTCCCTGTGATAGTGCATGAATCAGTTAGTCACTCATTCCTTACTGCACTTCCCTCTGACTTCTTGGTGCAATAGTCTCTTTAGACTTCTCAGTTACGAGCACTTTGAACATAACTAGTACTTTAAACTTAGTTCCACAGAGTTCAAGACTTCTGCAGTATTTACAAGTAAAATCTCTTATAGGATGTTCTGATCATGTCAATTTCCTCTTGTCTAAGGTTCCCATTAGGTGAGCCTTTTTACCAAGGATACTGTGGCATTTACCATCAGCCCTTGATTCTAGCCACTCAGATGCCTCACAATCGGATACAGGTGCAAGAGCAAACAACATACATGGACTATCAGTGGATGTTCATAAAAATTCATAAACAGAAACTTAGAAATAGCTATATTAAGAGATTTTACACAGGGCAGCTGACCAAAAAAAAAAAAAATCAAAGCCCAGGTTCATGCTTAGAATATCATCCTGAAGGGAGTCCAGCTGGGAGACCATTACCAGATCTGTATTTTTATATCATAACCAGTGAAAAAAATACTCACAGCCAAAACTTTACTTTGGAGTCTATGGATTTTTACATGCTAAAAGTGAATTTTAAATCTAATGTCACTAAGCTTTTTTAAATAACGCATGGGAAAATATTTGATACACTGAAAATTTCCAAAAGGCACCTTAAAACTTGGAGATAAAGATATTTATATACAAAAAAAATAAATAACTGGATAGACGGAAGGAGGGACAGAGAGAAACGGGGAAGGGATGGACGGTCAGAGAGACAGACAGACATAGGCAAAAAAGATAGTCTCTAAGTGCATGGACAAGGAAATCTGGCAAACAGTTAGGTCTCCAGCTCAGACTGCACTCCTGAGCTCCTCCTGAACATCTCTACCCAGCGATCCCTTCTGGGTGCCTCTCAGTCTCACACGAAAGCTGATTAGATATACTTCAGTCCTGATAAAAAAGCCTTTTAAGAATTAGAACTCTCACCGTGTTGCTGTAAAGTAAACCAGCTGCTCAGTTACAGACCACATACAAAATCGCAGAGTACAACTCTACAGTAAGGGAGCCATGCCAGCTCTAATAGTCTAGGACTATTCAAACTGAGGAAAATCTCATCTCTAACAGAAAGCTGAAGATAGCGTACTAAGAGGTAGTAAATAAAGGGAAGGAGAAACCGTCTGATTGGTCTCCTGCCCTCATAAACTTTCACTGTCAAAGTATGGTCAAACACACAAAGAACAATCACTTCTAACTCGGAGAGGGACTTCTGCTTCCAGTCATGAGGGAGTAAGACGGTCCAGAAATACCCTCCTATAACTAACAACTAAAACTGGACAAAATACAGAAAATAACTATCTTCAGACCTCAAACAAGAGGCAATAAAGGACTGTGGAACCTGAGAAAAGAGAAAGAAATGAGCGAGTCCTACCACCTGCCAGGCTTCCTAACTAGAGGTAACTTAGGAACTGTGGTACAAGGAGAGTCCCAAAAGGAGCCCACTCATCTCAACGAGTTGAGGAGACAGACATCAAAGCAGAGAGAGCCAAGGCAGCTAGAATTTGCAGGGTGCAGGCAGCTATGCAGAGAAAGAGCTCCAGAAATCTACACAGGGGTTTCCTTTCAGTCTCGCCTGAATACCAATCCGTACATGCACAGAGTAAAACCCTAAGGCCAAGCAGAAACTACTTCTGGGGAAAGATAATTATTGGAAAGCTGTAAGTCAAACAATGCCCAGAGCTCACACAGCTGTGAATCACTCACGTGACCACTAGTCAGAATGGAGAAACTGGGCTGAACACAGGGGGCACTCAGCACAGAGCCCAGGAGGGCAACGGCTTAGAAGTGGGGCTCAAATGAGCCCTGGGATATAGGCTACTCTAGATCCTCCCTCCAGAAAAGCTTAAAAAGAGCCTTAAGAGGGTCAAATCTATCTTCAAGTAATTTAAATGCTTACCAGAATAAAGTCCAACACGCAACAACAAACACCACAACATCGATCATTCAATCAAAAATTACTAAACACATAAAGACGCACAGTGAATACTCATAACAAAGAAGAATTAGTCAACAGAAACAAACCCAAAGTGAAAGAGGTAATGGAATTAGTAGACAAGGACATTAAAACAACTATTGTAAATATGCTCAAGGATATAAGAAAAATAAAGCATGATGAGATCTGTAATGAAAATTCCACTGGATAGTAGCAACTGCAGGTTAGACACGTGTAGAAAAGAAGGTCAGTGAACTTAGAGACACAGAACCAAAAACTACCCCAAATAAAACACAGGGAAAAAAAGATTTAAAATTTAAATAGATAAACAGAGATTCAGTGCGACAATATCAAGTCATCTAACATAAATACAATGTGGTCCCAGAAAAAGGGTGGTGGAGGACAGGTAAAATATTCGAAGAAATAATGGCTGAAACTTTTCCAAAGTTGATGAAACTATACACTCAAATATCCAAGAAGCTCCATATATCTCAAGCAGGATAAATAATAAAAGACACTTTCTTTCTTGCCTTTTTCTTTCTTTCAAGCCCAAATAATAATAATGTATTATGGAATTTATAATAAATGTAGAAGTAAAACGTAGGAACAACAGCACAAAGGTTGGGAGGCGGGAAACCGTAAGTCACCGAGATTCTCGGATTGTTTATTGACTGACGCAGCAACAAAACCCGAAACCCGATCAAGAGCACTACAATCCAAATGAAGAAGAAAAAAAAAAGCTTTACCAAAAGATGAGAAGGTTGCATGTGGCAGAGAGCAGAAAACAAGAACTCCAAATAGGGCCCCGGGTGATCATTGCTAAGACGAGTGTTCTAAACATCAGACGCCACGTTCCCGAAGGTGACGTGTGAGTCATAACTAGATGACATTAGCCACCAAGACCATCCCGTTGCCAGTCTGGCTCCACGCTTACTTAACTCTGACTATAATCTGCGTATCAATTAATGTTTCCTTTTTGAATGCCTTTTTGTATGATTATGACGTCTTGCTTTAAAAAAAAAAACAGTATGTAAAAGCCCCTAAAATTTAATAATCAGATTAAACTTGGTTCCATTATTATGTACTTCACAAAAATCTATTAGAACATACTCTTAAAAAGTGGCAATATCACTTTATTTAATTATATCCTCAAACTTTATCTATGCCACTTTGTATCTTTACTTTTTAAAATTTTTAATAAAATTCTACAATTCATTACACCATACTTTAATTCAACTTCAATAAGATGCAGAAAATCAGCATTTTAAAAAATTTTATTAAATTCTAAATAACTTCTCAGTGCTTAAGCCTAACACGTGCCACAAAAAAATTTAATTTCAAACAATGATGACATAGGTACAAAGGAATTTTCTTTTAATGAAATCCTTTGCTTTATTCCTTTTCTTTCTACCTTTTTCTCTTCTCCTTATTTTGTGACTTTCATGGAAGAGAAGCTATTGAAAATAAGAGCTCCCTTCATCTATTTTGGGCTCCTTTTTTCTATCTCAGTTAATTAGCTAAGGCAGGAAGTCTTATTTGACTGCTGTTCTTGAGAAAACAGGCAAAAATGTTGATCTTAACAACGAATGTTTACAGTTTGTTCACAGGGACAGCATTAATGAGGCCAAGGTCAAGAAATATTACTTTTTTACGGTTAACCACCTTATGCTTCACAGTTATAAACTTTGCCTCAGAAGTATCATGTCTGCATAGCAACAGTACAATATTAACCTACAAAGCTTTTCAGCAATACAAAAAGTTACTGCGTTCTTCCAAAGACAAAAATAATTAAGATCTATGAAATGTAACATTAAATACAAACCAAAAAAGAAACACAAGGGCTAGTGGTTGGTATATAAGAGGTTACAGTAATGAGAAATGAGATTTACAAAATCAAAAGATGCATTCCACATAGTACTTACCAACTGTATGGTAAATAAAGATTTCCATACAACTTTAATGTGCTCTGCCAACCTAGTCTGCTTCTTATTTGTATGGGTGTTATAATGGAATATATACATCTTAATGTACTGACTAAAAAATGTCAAAATACACAATTAGCACAAATATCTGAGAACTGCTCATGCAAAAAATTTTAATAATTATATGAGAATAACCCCTCACACTTCCAAAATAAAACCTCTGTAAGTGTAGACATATAAGCCACATTTTATGTGAGATTGGCAGCAAACCTGAACAAATTAAGACTTCAAAGTATTCTCATCTGAACAAGCTAGCTTACTCTTTCAAACAACAAAAACTATTTTACTGAATTTCATTTGTCAAGAAAAGTTTTAAAATTTACCTATGCTATAATCAGGGAAATACAAGACAAATGGTTCAAAGCAGCCAGTATTTGGACGAAACTTTTCCCAAACAATTTCACTGAGAAGGATAACAGTCACATTTCTGTCGGTCTGTAAAAGAAAGAGAAACAAAAGCAACTGTGCATTTAAAAATTGTAGAGCAGTAATTCCCTTTGAATTTTTCTTTCAAATAAATCCAGCAAAGTTCCCACATCTAACAAATTATTTGCATGTTAATAAGCCATATTTAGAAAACCTAATCAAGGAGCTCATCCACTTGCAAATTTTCATACATAACTACTTGGAATTTCCATGAAACTCTTAAGTTACTTGACATTTCAGTTAGCCATGAACGTTAAGACAGTCACACAAGTACTTTTTTATGGAAATTAAGAAACACGTTTGCTTAAATAATTAAGATAAGACCTTTTTATGGGAATTTTCAAAGAAATCATTAGCTTTTAATCAATAAACAAAAAAAGGCAAAACTTAACATCTCTCATCATTAAAATGGCTATAGCAACCCAGAGAAAAGGAAACATGACTCGAAGAAAAACAGATATGCCACATTACATAACCACCTGATATTATTAGGAAAATTTAAGGTTTTTTTAAAGGTTATTTTCACACAAATTACTGAGTAATGTTTTACTCAGTATGATATTTATTAGTCTGAAAGGATTTTAAGTTGGTAATGTTCTCATCTGATCATCTGAAAGTACTTTCAATGTACACCATCTATCATAATTTAAGCTTCATTTTACTCAGATAAATATTTAAGATAAAAAAATGGGAAATGCTTTTGCTATATTTCCCAAATGAGACAAATTTTTAAAAATCAAGCATGTTTTTGCTGCGGTTGGCATCCCACATATAAAGTGGAGGAAGATGGACACAGATGTTAGCTCAAGGCCAGTCTTCCTCAGCAAAAAGAGGAGGATTGGCAGCAGATGTTAGCTCAGGGCTAATCTTCCTTAAAAAAAAAAAAGAAAGAAAGAAAGAAAAATCAAGCATGTTTTCAGGAATGTCAAAACAACAATTCTCTTTTCTGGCAGAGTCAAGATTTCTGTGAATCTTCACATTTTCCTCAGTTTCCACAATTAAAACTAAAAGAAATGTGAACGGCCTAACTCGTGTGAAGGGATGCACCATCACCAGTACTGGGCACGAGGGGAAAAAATGAAGTAAGCTTGACTGGAAGGGCAACAGGACAGCAAGAGCGGACTCTGGATGCCAGACAGGGAGTCCTAGAGCAGAGCAACGGGAAAGAGCAGACGAAGGTACACAAAAAAACACAAACACAACACAACAACAATAATAAAAAGAAAGGGAGGAGGTGACAGCTATTCAAAGAGAATGGGTCCCTGGTCTCGGCAGTAAAATGTCAAGAGTTAATCAAACTGGGAAAGGCTGGACGGAGTGAGGAAACGCCCAGGAGAGGCCACCACAGCCACGTCACTCCCCCGTCTTCTTCACACTCCCCAGGACTGTGACTAACGTGAAAGCCAGAAGCCCGCCTCAGGCACGCGACGGTTTCAGCCGCACCTGGAAAGCCTGAGCTTCTAGCAGTTTCCCAAATTTTCAAAGGTGGAGATGCTGGAAACGCTGCCTCCTCAAATATTTACTTAATTTTTATTATAATGTTACTTAATACTTAATACAGACACAAAACTATTTATGCTCAAAGCACTTATAAAATTATGAAACCAAAAAGAATTTACAAGTTAAATACAAAGCTACCAAACCAATAAAATTTAAACGAACATTAATTGAATATAACTAACAGTACTGTTTTGCTCAAACTAAACCTCTGCTCACTTCGTGAGTATGGCATTAGGAGGAAACAGCCACAGTGCTTTTGGGTTTAGCGTTCCTCTATCAACTGGTGTTGGTGAGCACTGAATTCTCTTACCAGTTTTCCTTATTCAAACTACTGCAAAACTCTGTTTAGGCCATAATATTATTATTTGGCTTTCATCTGACACATATGCAAATTAAGTCTATCTGGGCTTTTTTCTTATAAGGTCATGACAATTAAAGCAATATTATTACTATCTGGTGCCAACACAGCTGTACACTGAAATACAAAGGTGGTTCTGGCACCGAGTGGTCATGAGAGAGAGCTCCCGATGATCCATCATAGACATACCATTCATTTTTTAGATTTCTGAAACGAAAGAAACTTTGAGAATCCCTGCATAAAGTTCAAAGTCTGGCCTCCCCCCATTTACTCTAGCAAATACCTAAAACTTTTTAATAGAAAGCAGTGTGAGTCGCTTCACAATTAGAACAAAAACCTAAAACAACTGAAGAATAAATGTTATCAAGTCACAAACTGCTTTAACTTTGAAAAATGCTCAACTTTACTCACTGAGAGAAATGCAAATTAAAATTATATTAAGATATCATTTCTCATCTATCAGATTGGCAAAATGAAAAAATCTGACAACACAATCTATTCATTAGGGCAAAGGGGAAAAAAGACTCATACATTACTTACCAATTCTTGTAACCTGAGAAATCCAGGCAAAAGATTTGCTTCCATATCTCTTAGATACTCTGCTTTATCTAGAACCTTACAGAAAAAAACGCAGCGTCAAAATCAATTGACAAAGCCCTTTACAAAACATTTACATAATATAATGCACAATTCAAGAACTGAACTTTCCATAAAAATTGTAACTTATGAATTGACTTTTAAATGCTATTTACATTTGCGGAAAACATTTCAAATAGGTCAAATTAGTTAAAAAACAGAGTACTTATAACATATTTTAACCCAAATTTCTAAATAGAGAATGAGGCATAGCTACATTAAAAAGGACTGTTTTACAGGTATACTATCAGAAAGACAATGACATAAGATGTTTTAAGGACATTTTCTTAGGTTTACAAGAAATACAACCTTGTGTAATTTTTATTCCATTTGGTAAAAAATATCTACCATGAACCAAAAATTACAGCTCTTTCTGATCCGAGAGAGAGAAGAAAATTCTGAATTTCATCATAAAACTCTTCTTGCCTGAACTTTGCAAATGTATGTTAAACCCCACTTAACTGGATAACAGATCATGTTAAAAAAGATTAAACTTTTGTTCAGTATTATAATAATGCTACTGGGATTATATTTTTTTAAGGTACTTATCTTTTAGAGATATACAGTATATACATATATACAGTATACAGAGAGATATACTATATATATTTATGAATGACATATGATATACATATATGGTAGATACAGTACATAGATATATATTTATGGATGACAGGATACGATGCAGGGAACAATGAATGGGGTACAGATGACACAAGTCTGGCCACCTATTAATAATTTTTGAAGTTGGGTGATGGGTTCATTGGGATACATTACACCATTCTTTTTACATGTTTAAAACTTCCATAATAAAAAATGTTAAAATTTTTTTAAAATTCTGTTTCAAGAGGTCATCGATCAGTCCATAAAAAAATCAAGGTCTTAAGAGCACTATTTAAAACATTCAGTCTAACTTTTGTCTTTACTTTTTGCTATGGAAATTTAAAAATATACACAAAAGTAGGGAGATTAGTACCATGTACTCCCATATATATTTCACCCAGCTTCAACAAAAATCAACATACAGCCAATCTTATTTCTTCTGTCCACCTCCCAACTTTTGCCCTCCACCCTCTTGCTGGATTATTTTAAAGCAAATCCTAGACATACCATTCCATCAGGGAATACGTCAGTATGAAACTATAAGAAATGAGAACTCTTTTAAAAAAAAAAAAATCACAGTATCATCATGCTTAAAAACTTAACAATATTTCTTAATATCATCTAATAACCAGTATGCAAATTTCCCTACTTGTTCCATAAATGTCCTCAGAGTTAGCTTATTTGAGTCAGGATCCAAAGAGGTCCATACATTGCATCTTATTATATTTGGTTTATTAGTCTTCTAAGCCTGTTTTAAATTATAACAGTTTCACTGAACCTTCTTTTTTCCCTCGTTATTTATTTTTTAGAGAAACCAGGTCATCTGTCATGCAGAATTTCCCATATTCTGGATTGGGTGATTGCATCTTTGTAGTGTCATTTAAGGTGTTCCTCTATGCCCTATATTTACTGTAAAATAGTCGACACATCCAGAGGGTTGATCAGATTCAGGTTCAAGTTTGGGGCAAGAATATTTCACAAGTAGTGCTCTTTTACTGAATTACATCCACAGGCATACAATATCCGGTTGTCTTTTTTTTGTGTGATAAAGACTGACTGACAGGTTCAGGTGTTGTCAGTCTGACCCATTCATGATAAAGTTCGCCAGCAGCCTTTCACCTAATGCATTCAGTATCAATTGATGATCATTGCCTATATTCATTATTTCATTAGGAACTGCAAAACTATAGTATTCTATGATTGTTTCTGCATTTACTGGAGGACATTTTCCTAGAAAGATCTTTCCCTCATCCACTATTTAGCTACCCAGAAATAAAGTTCACACAGGACAAGAATAATAAATGCCTCTTTCCCTTAATGTACCAATTTTCAGAACAATGAGTTTGTGTCTGTATTAGCTTTCTGCACTTGCTGTGACACATTACTACACATTTGGTGGCTTAAAACAAACTAAAAATTTATTCCCTCTCAGTTCTAGAAGCCCAAAGTCTGAAACCAGTTTCACTGGCCCGAAGTCAAGGTGTTGGCAGGGCCACACTCCCTCCAGCAGCTCTACGGTTGAATCCACTCCTTGCCTCTCCCAGCTTCCGGTGACTGCCTAGCATTCTTTGGCTCATGGCTGCAACACTCAAATTTTTAAGGCCAGCATCTTCAAGTTCCTCACTTACTCTGCTTGCCTCTGCTTCCATTATCTGGCCATCTCCTCTTTGTACGTGGTATAGTCAAATCTTCTCTGCCGTATGGACATTTGTGACTGCATTTCAGGCCCACCAAGATAATCCAGGTAAATCTCCCCATCTCAAGATGCTTAACTTAATCACATCTGCAAAGACTCTTTTTCCAAATGAGGTAATATTTACAAGTTTCAGAGATTAGGACCTGCTATCTTCAGGGGCCATCATTCAGCCTACTGTGGCACCCTAGTAAATTAAACTCCCACAGTAACCCATGAGATGAGGTTTTGTGTTCTTTATGTATTTGCTTAGTAACATTATGAATTCATGGATTTTATCATATATAATGTGCTTCCATCCACTGAATCATTATTCTTTTCGATGGTCAAATTGTCCCATCTTTGGCCAGTTGAAGTCCTTTCAAATTGGCTTGGGTCTTTTGTTCCCCCAGCTTTAGTGAGATATAAATGACATACAACATTGCATAAGGTTAAGGTGTATGTGTTGATGCCATACACTTATTTATTGCAAATTGATTCCTGCCAAAGCATTAGCTAACACTTCTATCACCTCACATAATTACCATTTCTTTTTTGTGGTGAGAACACTGAAGATGTACTCTACTCTCTTAGCAGCTTTCAAGTATATAATACAGTATTATTAACTAAAATCACCATGTTTACATCAGATTCCTCAGAACTTATTCATCTTATAACCGGAAGTTGTACTCTTTGACCAGCATCTCTCTATTTCTTCTACCCTTCAGCCACCAGTAACTACTACTTTAGGCTCCGTTTCTGTGAGTTTGGCTTTTTCAGATTCCACATATAAGTGAGATCACACAGTATTCTGTCTTTCTCCATTTGACTTATCTCACTTAGCAGAATGCCCTAAAGGTCTATTCATTTTGTCACAAAACACAGAACTTCCTTCTTTCTCATGACTGAATACTCCATTGTGCGTGTGTGTATACCACATCTTCTTTATCCATTCATTCAGTGACGGACATTTAGGTTGTTTCCATATCTTGGCTATTGTGAATAACGCTGTAATGAACATGGGAGTACATACAGATACCTCTTCGAGATCCTGATTTCCATTTCTTCTGGATGTATACCTATAAGTGAAATTGCAGGATCATACGGCAGTTCTATTTTTAATTTCTGAGGCACCTCCATACTGTTTTTCACAGTGACTACACCAATTTACATTCCTATCAACAGTGGACAAGGGTACCCTTTTCTACACATCCTTACCAACACCTGTTATCTCTTGCCGTTTTGATAACAGCCATTCTAATAGGTGTGAGGTAATATCTCATTGTAGTTTTGGATTGCAAGTCCCGATGATTAGTGATGTCGCGCTAATGGACTTGTTGGCCATTTCTATGTCTTCTTTGGAAAAACGTCTATTCAGGTCCTCTGCCACTTTTTAATTGCTTAGTTTTTTTGCTATTGAGTTGCATGAGTTCTTTACACATTTTAGATATTAATCTCTTATTACATATGTGATTTGCAAGTATTTTCTCCCATTCCATTGGCTGACTTTTCATTTGGTTGATTGTTTCTTTTGCTGTGCAAAAGCTTTTTAGCTTGACGTAGTCTCACTCACCAACTTTTGCTTTTGTTGCTTGTGTTTTTGGTGTCATATGCAAAAAGCTGTCACCAAGCCAATGTCAAAGAGCTTCTTCTCTGTTTTGTTCCAGGAATTTTACAGTTTCAGTTCTTATATCTAAGTCTTTCATCCATTTCAAGTTAATTTTTGTAAATGGTATAAGACAGGGGTCTAATTTTATTCTTCTGCATGTGGCTGTCCAGTTTTCCCAGCACCACTTATTGAAGAGACTATCCTTTCTCCATTGAGTATGCTTGGCCACCTTGTCAAATATTAGTTGACCATATATGCAAGAGTTTACTCCTGGGCTCTCAATTCTGTTCCATTGGTCTGTGTGTCTATTTTTATGACAGCACTATACTGTTTTGATAACTGTAGCATTATAGTACAGTTTGAAATCAGGAAATGTGCTATGTCCAGCTTTGTTCTGTCCCAGAATGGCTTTGGCTATTCGGGGTCTTTTGTGGTAACATGCACATTTTAGGACTGTTTTTCCTATTTCTGTGAAAAACATCATTGGAATTTTATCAGGGATTGCACTGAATCTACAGATGGCTTTGGACAGTAAGGACATTTTAACCATACTAATTTTTTCAATCCATAAGATTCTTTGTCTTTTTTAAATGACCCTAGCAGTAGCTGATATCTTCCTAGCTTTCTATTACGGCAAGATGGTCTAGGTTTATCTCGTACATTTTCTTCCCAGAACTGAAATCGCTCTTTCTCCAAAGAAAGCAGTTTTTTAAAAAAACATTTACATTTTATTAATAAATCTTATTGCAAATTATAATCACTTAAATTAGGAATAAAATTAAAATGCAGGGAATATTGTTTCCCTGAATAGTCCAAATTGTTTTTGTATCTGTTTTACTTATTAATAGATAGCTTGAAACAATGTATGAGAGTAACCAACTTATTTCATTCCTAATTAGACAAAATAAAGCTAAAATTATTTACTGCTAAAAAGATATAAATTAGTTTCTCTACTATGCATTCTCATTACACAATTTTCCCATCAATCTCCATTTAAATAACTCTCTAATCCAGGACACAGATTAATTCAAATAAATTGGTCCATTTTTATGCCCATTTTAATGCCTAAACACAAAGCTGTAGCAGTAAATTAACAGTTCATTCTTCCAATTTGATAGAGTTAACTCACTATAATTAATCATTTTATGGTATTCTAATAAATGATCCTTCTTCAAAAGCAATTATCAGATAACTAATATTCAGAGAAGTACAAATTTTAATTCAGATCCAAATATTTTTCTTAATAATTTACATGAAGGAGTTCTCATAGACTCAATTTGCAAGCCAGTTTACTGACAAGAAAACATTCTCAGCCATCTTTCTGTATTATTTCCCAACTATTGAGGCTTACCAACTCATATATTAGATAGCTGAACAGTCTACAGACTTCCTCTAAAAAATGTTCTACACTAAACATCTGCAAACTTTTCCACTCTTAACATTCAGTCAACTAACAAATCCTTATTGAATGTCTACTTACATCCACTGGGCCTGAAAAATGAGTAGGACTCTACTCACTCCTCATGGCTGTTTCTAGAATATGGATTCTCCCCTCTTCCTAAAGGGACTCAGCTTTGAAATTCTACTTGTTGGAGTCATCCACATATTCTGGGGTCATTCCTCCTCATTTGTTAAATATTACAGTTTCTGACTATCTCTTCTCTAATACAACTCCTATTGTTTTTAGATATTTCAAACCCACATAAATGACCCCCTTCTGACACGGCAGACTCAGTTCCTTAAATAGCTCTCCAACAATGATCTTATCTCCCACTCTACCTCAGTGAAAGACCAACTTACTTCCTAGATGACTGGTTTTTGAAGTGTGGTCTGTGGCCCCCGGGGCAGGGACTGGCAGCAGCATCCCTGATACCCTTTCAGGAGGCTGGCAAGGTCAAAACAATTTTCATAAGAATACTAAAAGAGGATTTGCCTTTTTTAACATGTTGACATTTACAGTGACGGTGCAAAAGCAATGGTGGGCTAAACTAGAGCCACCTTAGCATAAACGAAAGCAACAAAGCCAAACTGTACAAGCAGTCGCTGTATTCTTCACGACGCACTTGCATTCCAAAAAAATTAGACTGCCACTGCTGAGCAGAGGGAGCAGCTGCACCGTTTCCTATTCCTCCTGCTAAGTAAAACTAAGAATCTTAAATATCCATAAAACAAACAGGGCTCTGAAAGGTGGAGAGAAGAGAGCAGACCAATTAGGAACCTTGGGGCCAGAAGAATGGCAACTGGCCTCAGAGTGAGCTGCCTGAGTTGTCTTCTGCCTCACACATCCCAGGCGTGGAGCTGAAGAAGCCAGGCACACAGAGGCTGACAAGCACAAACCGAAAAAGCCGCAACAAAAGCCCGCTATCTCCAGCCACAGGAGGGCAGCCTCGCAAAGACTCCCAGGACACGGCACTCTCCAAGTTTTCTTCGTAAGTCATGATTCCTTCTGTCTCCTCATTTGTTCTTTCCCATCTCCTCATTCCCAAACACCAGACTGCCACAGCACTCAGTCACTGGACTCACTGCTTTTCCACCTCACTCACTCTCTTGGTGACCTAATCCAGTCTCACAGCTTTAAGTACTTACATGCTCACGCCTCCAAAATGGTATCTCCACGTTGGACCTCTCTTGACCTCAGACTCAAGTGTCCAAGTGCCAATTCAATGTCTCTAATTGGACTCAACCCAAAACCCAACTCCTAATCACTCCTTCCCCTACAGCAAGACTCCATCTGCTACAGCTCTGTCGACTCAGATAATGAGAACTCCGTTCTTTCAGGTGCAAACAAACTTTTGAGTCATCCTTGACTTCTTTCTTTCTCTCCTCCTCCACACTCAATCTATCAGAAAATTCTGTCAACCCTACCTCCAAAATGTATCCAGACCACTTCCTATCACCTCCACTGCCACTACCCTGGTCTAAACCAACATGATGTTCTGCTCAGATTATTAGGAATGTCTCATAACTAACTGCGTTAGCTTCCTAGGGCCACCTAAACAAAGCACCACAAACAGGGCGCCTTAAGCAACAAATTTACTATCTCACAGTTCTGGATGCTAGAAGTCAAGATCAAGTTGTTGGCAGGACCACGGTTCCTCTGAAGGTGTTGGAGAAAAGTCTGCTCCAGGCCTCTCTCCCAGCTTCTGGAAGTCCCCTGGCTTGTGGCAGCATATCTCCAATCTTCACACAGCTTTCTCCCTGTGCACACGTCTGTCTCCAAATTTCCTCCGTGTACAAGGACACCAGTCATACTGGATTAGGGGCCTACTAACACTAGTACGAACTCATCTTATGACCTCATCTTAATGAATTAGACCTGCAATGAACTGATCTCCAAATAAGTTCACATTCTGAAGTACTAGAGGTTGGAACGTCAATGTACGAATTGTTGAGAGAAACATTATAAGCCATAACACTAGTCTGCATGCTTCTATCATTGCACCCCTCAGCTGAGCCTCAATTACCACGCTCCTCCTCACTTACACTATTCCAGTCACAATGGCCTTCTTGGTATTCCCTGAACAGACAAGGCATGCTCCAGTCTCCTTCGCACTCTTATGGAGACGTCCTTGCTTGAATACTCTTCTTTCAGATGTCTTCATGGCTTGCACCTCACTTCCTTCAGGTTTCAGCTCATTTATCATGAACTCAGTGAGATCTTCCCTGCCTTCTCTATTGAGAAAAATAACTAGTCTCTCCCACCTGCTTGATCCTCCCTTACTCTGCTCCATTAACCTATCACATCTGACATATTGCATATTAACTTGCTTATCATCAATCTTCCTCAAGTAGACAGTAAGGTGCCAGTGGGCAGACTCTGCTTTGTTCCCTGTTCTATCTCCAGTGTCCACAATAGTGTATGGCAGACAGGAAGTGCTCAATAAATATTTGTCAAATAAATGAATGAATGAAATTAAAACATGGAAGGAACTGTTTTATCCATTTACGGAGATGCAAGAATACATAAGATTTGGTCCCTGCAGTGAGTTTTTAACTAAGGTCTTATAATAAGGCATTATATTAAAATTCAATTTCAATTCCAATTCCAGAGATGATAATTTTTTTAAAAGGTTGAAGTATTATAAAAAATTCACTAATATAAAACATATTACATATTTTCAGTTGTTTGCTAGTCATTTTCACATAGATGTAACAGCTAGACTTCAAACATAGCCCACCTAAAATCAAACAATTCATCTTTCCCCCCAAATCTACTCCATACACAAATGATTCACCTGTGCCCACAAACCTAGCCCAAACACAGCTGACAAGTTTGACCTTTGCTGCCTCTTCCTCTTAATCTTTTCTGCATCTTCTGCCCCAACTCTGGTCTAGGCCCGCATTTCCTCTAATGTAAACAGCTACAAGAGCCTCAAAACCATTCTTCTGGCCTTCAGTCTTTCACCCCCTCCAATCCAGCTACTCAAGCTGCCTTCAGAGTTATCTTCCCACAGCATGTCTGTTGTTCTAAGATCTTCACTACCTCCTCTCACTGCCTAGGAAATGAACTAGAGTGCTTTAGTATAGTTCTCAAGACAGTCCATGTCCATGACCTGCCACCGCCTACCTTTCTAGTCTTCTTTTTCTCCCTTCATACTTTACAACTCTCTACGACTAGACTATCTGGCATTCTCTGGCCTCCATTCCCATCTGCGTGCCTTTGCTTACATAATTCCCTCCATCTGAAATTCCTCTCCTTCAGCTTCTTCCTGAAACACCCTAATCATTCTTTTAAGTCTATCTCAAATGCTATCACCTCCTGAAGCTGTACCAGATGTGCCTAAGTCAGTACTTGCATCTCAAGGTTATCACTTACCACATTCTGCTTAGTCACATGCTGAGTATGTGTCACAACTCTTGTATTAAACTGAAGCTCCCTTTGGATAAGAAAGACATCTAAAACATTTTTGTATCCCAAAAGCACCTTGCACGGTGCACTGTACATAATGAGACTCAAAACAAATATATGGAAACTGAGCTAATAAACAAATCAGTCTTCAAACAAGACATGATATAATGAAATGAAATGACTTACAATATATACAGTCTGATCCTTGAGACTTTCAGCTTTGGTGACTTGTTTAAACAAGCGAACAAAGTCATTAAATGTTTCACAGGTTATGTGAGTAGGACATGCATCCTCTGAAGAACTGAGATGATTCAACTTGTTTAAAATTTGTTCCAAGAGCAGCCTCAAGGTAAAGCATTCAACGCAATTCACGAAGACATGTGGGAGCTGAAAACAAAAAACAAAGAGTGTAAAGAGAAAACACACATATATAGCAATGGCTCTGCTGGATATTCCCCCATCTGCCCTTCTAAATCTATACCCCACCGTTCCCCAACCTGCTCTGTGCCCCAGGAGGCTGACCACTACAGGCTACACTGCCCAGACTTATTTTCCGGCTCTGGTTGGATTCAGCCAATGGAAAGCACCAGCAGGAGACTGGAGGAGAGCAGAGAGAGAGAAGTTGAATATTTATTCCCTTGCCTCCCACTCCCACCCCTCAGCGGCCCACAGTTTGACAGGGGCTACGTCCTTCTACCAGAGGCCACCGCTCCAGCTGGGCAGCCCCTCATCAAAGGCTACAGCTCTTACTGAGGTGTGGTAACAACTCCTTCCTGTGGCCCATGCAGGGCTGAGGGAGGTAAAGGCTCTTGGTGCTTCACCATCCCTTAATGGTTCCCTCAACATTTTTTCAACCTTTAAGTCCCTTCACTAAACTCACTTCAATTATTTGATCGCCACTTGTTTCCTGTAGGGATTCAAAGCAAACTTATATTCTCCCCTAAAGATTTTTACAGAGACTCCCAAGTACATGTGAATGTTAAAATTCTTAGTGAGAATTCCACACTTATAATTTTAAGATAATATTCTTAATGATGAGCACACCTAGACTGAAACAAAAATTTAAGGGTTAGAAAGCACAGTAATCCCTCTATGAGGACTGAGAACTAGCTCTCATTTACAGAACTACCAAAATGGAGGTAGTTCCAGAAGTAACAAGGAAATAAAAGACTCGTTCACAAATATAGTCTGTTCAGAAAATGCAATCACAAAAGCAGTATTACCACTCAGAAGACGATAACCCACAGCATGTGGCACAAACAATGGAACCTATAACTATTTTTAATAACAGTCTACAAATCTCACCCAATAAGGAGGCTTTTCTTTCTCTCTCAGAGAAACGGTGTAACCAAAGCTACATTATACTTACTTAGGCAGTTTCACAAGCATTCACTGACCTCCTCTATCCCCATTCCTTTATGAACCAGAGTCCACAACATCTCTGTCATGAATAAGTGTCTTGCTTACTGCTATCCGGTGCTATGCATGACCTATAAGGGCAGCATACTCCATGTGTCTCTTTCTGTACCTGTACCAGAGGCACTGATAATCATCATTTATTACAATGATTAAGTAGCAGCAAAAACTATAATGTATTAAAAAAAGGAATAGAGTCCTTAAATATGGAACTTCCTCATTCAGTTTTCATGCTTTGATTCAACATATATATATTTGTGGACACTTCATAAGGGGCTTCTCAAATGCAAATGCCCGATCCAGGATCCCGTTCACTCAGATTCTGAAGTCCGATATGAAGCCCAGGTATTTGCATTTTTAAAACATATGGGTGATCTTCGGAATCAAAGGCTAAAATCCACAAATTGATACGTGCCAAGCACTGCACTTGGTGCTGGGGATTATCTGAGGAAATTCAGATTCTCCAGCCAGGGAAACACAAACACAATCCCACAGCTGAAAGGACTACATTTTACGACAGAATTAAGCACAGCATGCCGAAGGTGCACCTCAGAGGGGCCTCTAACAACAGCCGAGGGAGTCAGGAAAGGCTTCCAGAGTGTGGGTAGAAGAAAAACTTAGCAAAGTAAGCATTTGCCAAGCAATAGGGCAGTAGAGGCCGAGCGAGTGAGTCCAACAAAGCCATTCCAAGCAGAGGGAGCAGTACGTGCTAAGGCTTGAAAGTCAGAGAGAACAGGAACTGTAAGTACTTCGGTATCCGTATAAGACACGCATGCTCTGGGCTAGAGCTTAGCACTGGGGTTAGCAAACTACGGGCTGGCCATCTGTTTTTATATATAAAGTTTTATTAGAACTCAGACATGCCCATTCAGACAGATGCTGTCCAAGGCTGCTTTCACACTAACGCAGAGTTGAGTAGTTCTGATAGAAACTGTATGGCCCACAGCTTAAAATATTTACTGTCTGGCCCTTAAGAAAAAGTTTGTCCATGCCTGGCTTAGGATATGAAGGAGGTGTGGCAATAATCATTAATAACAGCAGCTAACCTTTATGGGGAGCTTACCATATACTAAGTACTGTCATAAGCACTTTTCATGTATTAGCTCATTTAATCCTCACAACAATCCCAAATGTTGTCACTATTAGGTCTACTTTTCTGATGGGAAAAGCATTAAGTGGTGAATCCAGAAGAAGAACATGAGTCTGCCAGACTTTACAGCCCAAACTCTTCACCATTATACTAAGAAAATAAACTGAATTCAGCTCAGCACCTTCTTATATATATATCAGGCAAGGGGCAGCTGAACATTTTCCTGAACATCATTATCCATATTATAAATGTAACAATGGGAAAGAAACAGATTTTAATGTTTTTTAAAGAATTTACTATTATGTGTGTTTTTCCCCAAATATTATCAGCCAATGAAAATTAGAAATAAAAAATAACTTTCTAACATCAAGGCTCAAGGTATCTAACAATGCCTTCTGAAGCTCACAGTGTTTGAAGATATTCAAACAAAAGAAGGTCAGAAATGTTTTATGTAGAAGATACTCCTTCAGAGAAAGGTAAACTGGAATAAATAATCTCCCAGATTCCCTCCATTTTCAGGAGTCTATGAGTAAAAATCAATTAATATTGATTTGTGGTTATTCTTACCTCTAAAGTTTTCAACAAAGTTTGTGTTACATAGGTCTTTCCACTGGCAGTATGTCCATAAATGAAAATCGATGGAAAGCTGAAATGATGTCTCTACGGGAGAAAAGAGAAATATCAGTCTGCACACACAAAAAAGAAAATAAACATTTATCAACTCGTGAGAAAGTTTTATGCGGTAAAGCAAAATATTCAATCCAAATTATTTCAACAGTGGACTCATCATGACACTTTGAACTTGCTTGAATACAGTGCATTAAGAGTCAGATGCCTAGCAAAAAGCAAAAGTTGTCAAAAGCCCCTCTATTGGTCTAGTCGATACTAGAAATATGTTTCGTTCATTCAACGATCATTTAGTATACACCTACCAAATGCTGAAAACCATGATACACTGAAGAGACGAATATCAGGTAAGGACAAATCTGCTCTGGAGGAGTTCAAAGTCTAGTGGAAAGACATATATTTTCAAAATAATTACAAGAAAATTGGATGATGCAATTTGCATGAGAAAGTGGAGTCTCTATGATCATCATCTACCACTACAACAGTGGTCACAAACATTTACTACATCCTAGCCACTAAGTTACACATTTCCTTTTGCTAGACAAATCAGGAACTCAGATTTACACAAGGCAAAGACTTTTTAAACGCCATATGCCTATGGCAAAAGCAGCCCAAATGCTAAAAATAGACTAAAAATGGATGTTTTAATACATGAATCCTTTCTTAAAGTTTCTACATAACGATCTTGTAAACTAGATTAAAAATCCTGTCCCAAGAATTAAATGCATGCTTGCTGACCATCTCTGCTACCCAAATACTATGTTTCACCTTCAAAAAGAAGCTCAAGACATCCTTCAAGAAATTGTTCCAAGCCACACTAGAACTCTCTTTTTCTGGAATCCTGCCACACTTGTCTGCACCCATTATTTGGTGCTTAATAACATCCCAGCTTATAACATCTTTTCTGTTGTTATCTAGAATGGTATTGAACTCTTGCACTGTTATTTAACCTTTCACCTTCACAAACCTCCCTAACGTAAACTGTAATAAGCCAGGATCTGGCACAGTGCCCGACGCTCATTAATATTTATCTGTTGAATAAACGAATCTTAGAAATATGAACCAGTTTTTTATAGTTCTTTGCATCTCCCACAATGCACACCACCTTGCAGAAAAGCGATTTATCAGTATTGTTAAACATGATTTGCACTCAAAACCCTTTTCGTGATCCACACCAAATCCATACTACTCATGTCTACTTGCCAATACTCTCTCTGAGGAGGAGCACTTCCGGTTGGAGTGATCTGGGTTGATCAACTCCAAGAAGGAACACAGAGCACAAACAAGAAAACGTCTCAGTGATAACATGAGTAACTCTAACCACAAGCACTCTAACTGGAATACTGAGGATGCAGTCATTGACCTCTTACTTCCCTAACTAATGTGCCTGTTTAGGACGGTGGTATTTTGTCACTAACACTTCACTGCCCACCTCAGACTACCATCCAACATTTCCAGTTGGAGAAAGTACTTAAGACAAACCAGAAGATGGGGGGAGGAAGGTGATGATGAGTATGACCCTAAACTTTCATTTACTCGCCTTACAGATAAGATCCAAGTCTGATTAATTCCAAGTCTAATGAATGAGCCTGCAGCAAAGGCTCACCAAAGGCCACCACAACATCATAAAAATTAGGTGAAGTTTTGAATGGGTGACTGCTACAGCCTGCCTATGGAAAGGACTCGCCTGGCTGCGTTCATCCAGGGAAGACAGTAACTACCCTTTTCTTTCGGGCACCATCTGAATTGCTGGCAGGAAGCCTACACTAGACTTCTTCAGGCTTTTCCAATTGTGGAAAAGCCGCTGGAGTTTTAAACCCAAAAGCACTGCTCTGGCCCTCACCGGTCTATCCAGATCTGATTGACACCAACTACCTCACTGAAACGGGCCCACTTAAGTGGACATAAAGAACCTCTGCAGACACACCTGTCGTGTAACATCCGGTTCGGCCGGGGTATGAGAATGAGTGGCTACTTCGGGCTGACAGCATCTCAAAAGCGCGCGTAGGGGAAGGAACGCGTCCCGGGCCAGCGTCCCGCCGTGCAGGCCGGTCCCTCCCGTGCACTTCTCCTTCGGGGACTAACCAGGAGTTACTCTGGGGGAAGGAGTCGGGGCGACCTACAGCATCCCCCACCCCAACGTGAAAGATGCTCTATTGCCCCTCATCCAAACCCGAAAACAGAAACCTGCAACGTGCCGCCAGCCCACGGAGATGCCTGCCTCCAGGATCTGGAAGAGACAAGATAACTGAGCACCATACCTCTCCGAACAGGGACTGTAAGGTGGACACCTGGGACTCGCGGCAAAGCACCAGGTTCTCCAAGTGAGCCATCCCGGCGGTGACCGGAGCACAGCACACCCGCCAACGCCCCGCGCCCGCGGCTCTGCGCTCCCGCCGGAAACCAGACGCGCGGGGGGGTGGGAGGGGCCGGCGTGCCGTGCGTCGGCGTGACGTCAGCGCGCGCGGAGCGTGGCCCCGCCCTAGGGGCCGGCGGCGGAGATGCGGACTTTCTCTGCTTCTCCGCGGTGGGCTCTGCGGTGCTGATGCTGGGAGGGGGTTGCCGGGGTGCGGCGTTTGTCAGCCAGAGGCCGGGAGGACGACGCGGGGGTGGGCAGACAGAGAAGGGCGGGCAGGAGCCAAGCGGCGAGCTCCAGTGACCGGCGTGCCCGTGGCTTCGGTGTTCCCGCCTCGAGGACCCGGGAGTTCGGTCCCGGAGCCCCTCGGGGGCAGGCGTGGAGGGGAGCCTGGCCGGCGGGCGGGGCCAGGGCCGCCCTCAGTAGACTCAGATGACCTGTATCTTCAAAAGATGGGGCGTCTTCCCTAAGGACGGGGGAGAGGTTAGTATCGTTCGCTGGAAAGCGTGTAATGAGCTTGAGCATACAACTTGGAATCGCTAGTCTCCATGCAAGCCTGAAACCAGATACGGACGTGCCCCTCCGCCCTGAGGGAGGGAGTTCTAGTGTATGTCGGTGAGGGCGACAGGAGTCAAAATGATGCTACGGTTAGCATGAGGCCTTCACGTGTATTCGTTCATGGAACACCATTAGAACCAGACACTAGAAGATTTGGGGGAGGGGGGGGAAGATATAGAAGTAGACAGAAATGTGTGGTGAAAAGACGACTTGGAGTCCTGAAATCTCTGGATCGGTGCCACTGACTCAGCTACTTCCGGAAAGAGAGACCTTGGAAGAACGGTTGAACCATTCATTTAGAATCTCAACTTCCTTATCTATAAAAATAGGGATAATAACAGCCGGGTTATTGCTAGGAGTAAGAGATGGTCTCCTTAGAGCCGGTACACATACATCTAAATTGCGGACATCGTGATCAGATTCTTGTGTTTGTGATGGCCAAAAGTATCTTCTCGATAATCATGGTCTCCTTTATTAGCCAGTAGAAATACTTTTAGAGCAACAATTCAGATGCAGTTGCCTAAGTACTTTCAAAGAGAATTATAGAGGGTACGGTGGGACCGTCTATCAAATCTTTCAGTGTATCTTCCTAAGGGAAGCTGGGCCTTGCCACCCTCCAAAGACTGGGTTACACGTTCTGCTAACACTACATCTCTACAGCATTCAACACAAGTATAAATAATTATTTATATGTTAGTCTCCTTCTGGATGCTCTCTGAGGACAGGAAGCCCTGTCTTCCTAGCTCCATGTTCAGCATTTACCATAGTGCTTGGTCCATACATAATAAGCAGTCAATAAATAATTGTTGACCAGAGAGGAAGTGCCTGCCTGCCTGGACAGATTTAGGAATGTTTCCCAGAGGAGAAACCAAGAAACTTGGTCTAAAGAATAAGGATTCACCTGTGAGACCAACAAATTCTGAGCAACAGAACAAAAGACAAGATAAAGACAGAAAGAGGCAAATGGGCAATCCCGTGCCAGGGACTAGCAAGTCGTTTTTAAGAGTAAACCTGCTGAGTGGCAGGAAGTCAGGTTGGGGACAATTTATGTTATGGTAAGAGGATTGAACCTTATGTAGGCCACATGGAGCCAATGAAGAATTTTAGGCAGAGAAGCAAATGATAAGACTTGACTTTTGGGAAGATCCGTTTGGCTACAGCACGGAAAATGGAATCAGTTTGACCTGTTAAAAAGACTATTTCAATGTTTCAAGCAGTAAATGATAATGGCTTAAACTAAGGGAATGGAATAGAGGTAAGAAGGAATGACAATTAAAGTTCATTAAACATAATGTGGCAGGCACTGTGATAGATATATTATCTCATTTAAACTTTAACAATATTATAATAGAGATATTATTCTTGTTTTACAAATGGAAAAACAAGGCAAGGTTAAGTAATTTATCCGAAGTCTCACAATTAATATATATAGTTGAACCTAGGTCTGGCTGATTGAAAGCCCTTCATCTTTCCACTACACCATACTGGGAAGGGCTGAATCAGAGAGAAGTTTAGAAGTGCATTTCATAGACTCAGTAGCTGCTTGAATGAGATGGAGGGGTGAGTCATTGAGAATAGCATTTAGGGTTGTGACTTAGGTGATTTTAGATTTTGCCAGTAATGAAATAAAAAATAAAGAAGGAGCAGGTTTGTTGATTTAGTTTTATCTTTATGGGATAAGTTTAATTTTATCTTTATAACCGGAGTGAGTTTGTCATATTAAATTTCAAGTGTCTACAGGATAACCAGGTAAAGAATTCCGGTAAAAATAAGATCTGGAGCTACAGAGAGAGTGATATAGGGAGGGAGACACAGGAGTCATCGCCGGAGAGGTAGTTGAGCCAGAGCTGGTTTAGATTACTCACTGAGCGTATGAGTTTGTTACACATTAAGCCTGCAAATAACTCTTAAAAAAATAAAGGGGCCGACCCCATGGCATAGTGGTTAAGTTCACGTGCTCCACTTTGGCAGCCCAGGGTTCATGGGTTCAGATCCTGGGCTTGGATCTACACACCGCTCATCAAGCCATGCTGTGGTGGCCTCCCACATACAAAATAGAGGAAGATTGGCATAGATGTTAGCTCAGGGCCAGTCTTCCTCACCAATAATAATAATAAAAATAATAATAATAAATGAAATAAAATTTTAAAATGTAGTAGTAGTAGATGAAATAGTTAATTTGGTCCTCAAGTACTATAAGTTATTTTTCCACGGAAAGAAAATATTTTCAAGAAACATCCTGATAGCAGGAAGCTCACTCTCTACGTCATATTTAACAGCTGTAGTTTGGGACCTGCTGCATTAAAACTCAAATTTTAGTTGAAGGACAAATCGAGAGTACCTACAGTCACAAATAGGTTATTTCAGTAGCTTTTCTACTTATCAGAATTAGTTTTGTAAACCAAAACTGTGGTAATACATCTGACGCTGGTTTAAAGAATGTAAGAACAATAATGTGGCATGGTTTCCTGTAGAAAAAGTGAACACATCACAAGCCGTGGAGCACCGATAGTTATTATACACGAGGGATGTTTTCAAGAGTCCTGAAAATTGCCAGATCTATCAGTATGTAAACGTAAGGAGCAAATAAGTACAGTATCTATGTGTTTAAAGGGTCTTAACCACAATTTTGATCTTTTAAAGCTAAAACATTAAATAAATAATATGAAACAACAGGAAATTTTACTTTTCAAAACAAAGCTCAAATTATTTCCTTATAATAGTGTTTAAGAGCCAAGAAAAGGAAAGAAATGAAACAAATTTTACTATCTTTACTTTTAATGCTATCAACAATACCCTGTGCTCTTTTAATCTTTGATTATTTATCCTATAGTTTTTAACTTAATGATTTGTTTACTAAACAAACATAGAAGGGTTAGTCCTAAACTATTGGGTGATTCAGGCTAATTGTTTTTCAATGCCATTTTGAAAATCAGATATACGTTGTGATGTACTGGCATCCCAGGACTAATAAAATATAAATTAATTGTTTAAAAAGTAGTCAGGAGGAATGGAAATCTCAGATAATGGTTGTGGAACTTCATCCTGGCATCGGATAAACTAGAGGTAAGCCCAAATGTAGATGGAAAACTTCAAGAAGATTTTATTTGAGCAAGTTAATGATCTAATTTTAGGAAAGCAATTCCATTGTCATCCATCTGCTCAAATCCTTCTCGTTTCTCTCCACTGCCCACAGCCAGGTCCTCACAATGTACGCGGCCCTGTGGAACCTGCTTCCCACCTCACGCCGTACCTCGCTCCCCTCATCTTCTGCTTCTCTTCCTCAAGCTCAGTCCCCTCAGCCACACTAGCCTCCTTGCTTTCTCTGGAACATGCCAGGTTAGCTCCAGCTTCTTGTGACTCTGCGCTTGCTCCTCCTCCTGGAATCCTTTCCTCGGCTTTTTTCATATGGCTCACTTCTCCACTCCTTCCAATCTCTGCTCAAACGTCACTTGATTAAAGGGGTCTTCTTTGAGCAGGGTGTTTTCCTTTTATGCTTCTCCCACCTGTAGTTTCTTCGCTCCACACGTACCCTGAAGTGGGTGCTGCCCGTCTCCCAAGACTGAGTTAAGACTTTGTCTTATATAGAACAGGGTCCAGCAAGGCCTTGGTCACCTCCCACGGGACACGTGGCCACTTCCCTTCCTCCAGACCTGCTCCTCTGCAGGAGGCCGTCTCCTGCTCTGCCCTCGGACTTCCTTGTGAGCATCCACAGGAGGGCCACGGAGACGAGCCTGTGGGTGAATGTGGGCTCCCTCTGTGACTGTAGCTCTGTATCACCCACAGTCGGAATTTATCAAATTATTCAAATTGTTAGCTGAATATTTTTACCTGCTTGTATGGCGCCTGTCTTTTCCCCCACCTCCTATTTTGCCACAGGTGAGTCAGTGCTCTAATCTCTCCTTGGAAAAGGCCATCTTTCCTTAGATTTCAGGCTGCTTGGTTTTCCTGTGATCTCAGCTCTATGATGGGTTAAGGAAAAATGATTAATTTTTTGTTGATTCAGCTTTTCTTGCTGTTAGGGTGGGAGTGATGCTCCTTCCAGATTTTTGCTTAGTGGTGGAACTCAATTGGTTATTGTTTAAATCCAAGCTTACATATGTTCTCTTGTCTCATTTCTCTTTTTACTCACTCTTTCTGCCCTTGGTTTGAACCTTCCCTCTGAAAGCACTTTCGTCATTGACTCAGGCAGTATTTTCCAGGAAACCAAACCTAAGACCTCTTAAGGTTATCTTAAGTCCAAACTCCAATGCTATGAAACTCCCTCGATTTTGTCAACAAAATCTTCCAGTGTCTCAAGTCTCGTAGGATTTATTATTTACACTTGTTATAGCACCTGAAACTCTTGACCTTGTATTATGGATATTTGTGCTTATGGTTTTTTGGGCACCAACCAGATTAAAATACTGAGATTCATTTATTAATTCCTTTGTTCATTAATCTAGCATTTATCGAGGACCTATCATGCCAGACGGCTGGGGATGCAGTGTCACTAAGAGAGACGTGG